GTCAGTTTCCGATTGGATTGATCCTTGAGTATATATGCCAAGTCAGTCTGATGCAATGCCAATTCTATCTAAGTCTTAATCTGGAATGTTCACGTCCCTAATATCTAGGCAGCATGAATACCAGTGCATATCCTAGGTCCTTTAACCCTTTCCATTAGATGCAGATTATGCAGTAGTTCAGGGAAGGTTATACTCCTAAGATAATCTTGATTCTGTCATCATTTTAGCCTCTAACCCTCAGTAACAGTCTAGTAAAATTCCTGACGACACTGTCTCCTTCACACCTTGCATTTGGACACTGTCGATCAACAATTCTTCGAAAACTTTGTATAACATCATGCGGGAGTCCGTCTAGGTAGATGATGTCTCTGTGTAACTATCCTGACCAATGGATTTTATATTACGAAATTGAAATCGAAAGTCTTAGAAATGCATTTTTCTCAACATGCTATTACCTTGAAGAGCGGGCTTCTAAAGGAACTAGTCAAGTAATCCCCTGCTTGTCCTTGAACTGCCCCCTTTCAAAGTAATAGCAAAATCAGGATATACACACATACCAGATTCAAGTCATGGACTACCAAGCAATTATTCCCCTCACACTCCTTATCTTCGTCATCTACCATATCCTCAGACGTCCAGGGAAGTTCAACGTGGGCAAAGCTCCAGATGAGAAGAAGGCAATATGGACTGGATATCACAAAGTATGCATAGCTCAAGACCTTCCATCTAAGTAGCATCTAATTAATATCTACCCGTGTCTGTAGGCAAAATCATCATCACAATCATGGACAATCCCAAGAAAAGACTACCATCTTCGCATCTTGCCAATAAGCATGCTCCCATCGCTTCGAACCGACCACCGAATAAGTTTCACAGCGGGGGTACATGATGTATGATCTTGCTCTTCTTGCCTTCGAAAGATCAATTCAAGATTCAACTAACAGATATCTCCTCTACAGCAACAACAAAAGCCGCTTCACAAAGACATTCGAATGTGCTGCATTCGCCAAAAGCGTTCAGATCAATCTAAATAATAACCTAAGTAAACACCATGCTCTCTACCAGCAACATCATAAAAACAAAACCTAACCCTCCCTCTACCTACCTAGGCAACCTCCTCCCAATAATGTACGAAGAAATTGAATACGCATTGGACCAAGAACTGGGCAACTCACACGGTAAGCATCCACCCACCCACTACTCCAACCCCCCATACAAACAGCCCTAACAACGAAACAAATACTCCTCAGAATGGCATCCCCTACCCCCCCTCCCCACCCTCCTCCGCATCATCGCCCTCGTCTCCGGCCGCATCAACATCGGCCTCCCCCTCAGCCGCTCCCCCACCTGGCTAACCCTATACACCAAATACCCCTTAACAATGATGTCCTCAATCTCCTCTCTGATGAAATACCCAGCTGTGCTTCGCCCCCTAGCACAGCACTTCATTCCCTCGCTCCGCGAACTCGACTCCATCCGGAGCGAAATCACCACCCTCCTCACGCCAGAATACGAAGCTATTCGCTCAGGCAAGTCAGACAGGAACACCATGATTCGCTGGATATGGGATAACTCCGAGGAGCACGAGCGGACAATAACATACCAGAGCCACGTGCAGGCGATGATGTCCATCGGGACGGTATTGGCGAATGCGGCGGCCGCGGCGCAGTGTCTGGTGGATTTGGCGGAGCATGGAGAGGAGATGGTTCCGTTGCTGAGGGGGGAGTTTGAGCGAGTGGTGGTTACTGGTGGTGGTGGTGATGGGATAAGTAAGCAGGCGTTGAGCTCGTTGAGTATGATGGATAGTTTTGTGAAGGAGTCGCAGAGGGTTAGGCCGCCGGGGGCGGGTGAGTCTTCTCTTCTTTCCATTTCCCTTCTAGGCACATTTGCACATGATTCGATTCTAATGATGTTGGTATGAATGATAGTCACATTCGAACGCAAAGTCCTGGAACCTTTCACTCTCCCAGACGGTACGCAACTCAAGGCAGGTGAGCATATCGCGGCACCGGCGTTCCATGTTGGCTGGGATCCGGAGTATATCGAGAACCCGGAGGTGTTTGATGGGTTGAGGTTTCATCGGTTGAGGAGTCAGGGTGGGTTGTCTGCTACTAGTACTGGTAAGTACCACTATGTGTCTGTGAATGAGACGTCGTTGCATTTCGGGTATGGGCGGAATGCTTGCCCGGGGCGATGGTTTACGGCTTTTCAGATGAAGTTGTTTTTGGGGCTGTTGTTGACGAAGTATGATGTTGCTTCTGGGGGGACGTTGGGAGAGGGGAGTAAGGTTGGGGATGAGGGTGAGGACACGGTCTGGATTAGAAGGAGGAAGAGTGGTGATGATGGTACTAGTATATAGAATTAGTTGTTGCTGTGATTAAAGCCAGTGTGGTGGGAAGATATGTCCTGAGATGATGTACAAAGAATAAGATTACTTGTAGTATTCTCTCTGTCTGATGTCAATGATACGGCTCTTGAACCAACTATTATTGTTTGGTTAATACATTGAAGGTATGATTACAAGGTACTACTGCTTTTTACGAAAGTTGAAGAAATTAGAAGCGTAATCCGTGAGATTGCATGAACACTAAGGAGTGATATGATTGAATTAAACAAATAGCATAGCGGGTATATATATGTTCGTAACAGGTCATAAAGTAGATCCGGTTCGGATCGATCAAAACAGAACAGACGCGCGTGGCGTTCTCGTGCTGATAAAATGGGATTGATGCAACGGCCTTCTGTGCCGAAGCGAAATCACCCAAGCATGACGCATGAGTATTGTTGACTCGACGCGTAGGGATTCCCTTTTCATGCTTGAAACTCTCAAGAAATTGGCTGGCAATCTGTTGCCAGGCTGGCCCCAGTTGATCCTCAAATAAACGGGGGAGCGATGTCGGGAGCGCTGAAAGCTTGATGGTGGAGGGCCACTAATGCGACCGGGGAGAATCATCTGTCGGAATAGAAAAACCGCAAAAATACCCAGGAATAGAATAGATCCGCAAGATATAAGCGTGCAAATCATTGTAGGCTCAATCCTTGGCATGATGGTGTCTCAGACGATCCACTCCATCTCGTACGGTATCCCGCAGACTGAAGCCTCCAAACAGCCAGTCATTCGAGTGACGACCGTAGTGGTTCACTGTGCCGCTGTAACGACGGTAGTCGTGGCCGCTTCTGCGGATGTGTGTGGAATGTACACGCTTGTTGGTTGCGCTGTCGTCGGTGGAGACTCTGCTAGGAGACATGGTGGAGACGGGGCTTGCAGAGCGACGAGGGGTAGAGTTTGCAGGAATGCTTCGAGGAATGTCGAAGCTAGATGAGGGAGAGGAGCGATTCGAAGGGATAGAAGCCGCGGTCGGAGAGTGGGAGCGCGACCGGAGGAATTGTTTCACGCTGGACAGACGGCTTGCTTTGTGATGTCTAGCCTTCGTAGCGTGGGAGTTGGTGGTGGTTGATGAGGTGGAGGAAGTAGTGGATTGAGAAAGAGCCCGCTTGAGTGTGTTTGGTTGAGCGGAAGTCTGGTGGTCGTCATTCATTGCTTTGATTGAGGATATACCAAGGGGGATGGATCAGAACAAAGTGGGATCAACTCGTGTAAACTGAGGATATTGCACCCAAAAAGAACAGGGGAAATGAGCGTATTTATGTTCCATCGTCCCCTCCTTCCGTGCTCATTCCGAGCATGTCTGGAAGCCCACCCATCAGCCTATCAAAACAGCACTGGCCCTATCCGGGGCATGGGGCCCCTGCCGGGAAGCCCGAGCGGACGAATGAAAGAATGCCAGCACCGAGGGGCTCCATCGATAGGGCTCAAATGGCCCCTTCCTGAGTCACGGACGGCAGCTGAATGATGAGCCAGTCGGTGAGGATCTCCAGTCGTCTCCACGCGTCTGCCCTATGCCTTACGAGCCGACCAATCATCGTGCCTGTCACCGGGAAATGACCCATCAGGGGGCTCCATTTTCACCGCTAGATCCACCGCAGCAGCGTCCACAAGGCTGCCTTGATTTTGTCCGCTGTTCGGGCGCGCCCGTCGGAGATTGATTGTGTGTCCTTTAGTGATAGGCAGTTGGAATGTTCGTCCTCGTTGTTTTTGTATGGATATGAGTGAGCTGTCAGCTCTAGGGCATTCCAGACAACTTCTAGAATTCTTCCCACGAAGCAACAGAACGGGTGAGAATTCAGCCCCCACCTTGCAGACAGGAATGATCGCTCGGACTTAGCGAGCAGGAAAGGAAATGATGTTCGAATTTGGACTAGGGACGGGACATAGGGCTTACGGCTCACAGGAGTGGTTTCCCAAGTGTTAGTCTCAGCTAGTGCTGATCTCCACCCTGGTCTCTCCCTCTCCTTCCCCTCTCCAGGCTACCATGAACCGGAGAGAACACACTCACGGATTACTTTTAATAGCAACTGCGTGAAAATGGCTCTTATCTGAAACACGATCCCTGCTCAAATTGTCACGCTCCCAGTGCGGGATATACGAAAATGCCTCGATGGAATGAGTGAGGGAATTATAGGGTAGGCGATGCGCTGCGGATGGTGTTGAAAGCGAAGCCAACACAACAGCGACAGACAAGACAGAGGCAGCCAGTCTCAGACGGCCTTCCCAATTGGGACGCCGGCCAGTGACCCACTTGAGGCTCTTGAGCTCGCCAATGACATCACGGCCCTTCACGTGCCCCGTGCCAAGAGGCTGGCCGGCACGCGCTTCCGAGCACAAGGAGTTGGGACATGAATCCTACTGGAATACGGGAAACGAACATGCTGCGACGAGTATCCCGAAGACCGTCCTTTTCTTCATTTTCTAGACTTGGTATGACCTACTGGTCTTGCTATAACATTAAATCAACAAGCAGCCGCCATCAACAAAGCTCATCGCATGCAAAATGCCCACTCAACGCCATGAAAGCAACCCTCGCGATGCAATGCGTGCAAATCTGTCAAAACCAAACACTGAAATATAACCAAGAAAACAGCACAAACTAACAGACAGTGCATACAGTTATTGTTCTTCTTCCAGTGGCCACAACGTGGCGCTGGGCCTTTTCCATGACCGAGGCTGCTCTGAATGGCATCGCCGATGGTTTCGCTCAACTGACAGGTATCCAGCTCCGGTTTTAACATCAGCAACTCTCCCCCTTTCAGCGATCGAACCTGAAGGCGGCAAAATAGGAGCTCCCTGGGGCATCCAGTATGAAACCAGCACACTTTCCCCAGTAGTGGTCGTGGTCGGCAGCACAAAGAGTGATCGGGCCTTATCCAGAGGTGGACGGATCATTTTCCGGAGGGACCCCGATCCCGATCCAGCATGATGGTCTGTGACTTGCCCAGAGGCGCTAGGCGAAGTTGTATCCCATGGAGCGTACCAACGTCGATGGGGACGGGCAGTCCTGGAACGAACAATACCCGCCGATGCGGCATCATCCTCGAGCAAATCCTCAGAACCCACCGGGGTCAAGAACTGCTGTTCGAACTGACGTTGCTGCTCAGCGATGACGAGCGGCAGATTTCGTCGTTCACGTAGCTGTGTCCCAGGGCCGCAATATGGCCAGGAGTGGCGTCGTCGATGGTGGACTAAGTGTGGCATATCAACAAAGTGTAAGAGCAACAATAACTATGAAATAGACAAATCAGTCAGGAACAGGACAGCAACTGATGAAGATCAACTGACTATAAATACCAATGGGATAGATAAATAGATAGATACCTAAGCAAAGAAAACACGAACAGCCCAGGCAACAACAAAGTACCCAGATATCTCAGTCAGTTAGTCAGTTCCTCCTCGACAAAAAGGATCCCAAGGCTTGCCAACAGGGCAAGCACTAAGCATGGTGAGGTAAAACAGGACACATCTCAACAAAATGCCCCGGGGGCAAGGCAGTTGGTAACAAGCCTCGCGTTATAAGAAGCTCAGCCTTTGCCCATGGGTCATGAGGCTCGCACGTGCAAGGCGCACGCGTCGGGGACAAGAACACTGGGGAGAGATCACCCGGGCGACTTAACTGACTGAGACGATCTGGGGGTGGGCGCTGAAGAATACATGATTTGAGGCACCCTTTACTGGTCATCCGCTAGTAGGGAACCGGATAGACGCGCCTTGAATTGAGTCACGGACGATGAGCAATAGGTTAGCTATGACAAATGAAATTAGAGTCAGCGACTGGCTTGCGCGGCGGGAAGGATGTTACTGCTAATTTTAATTTTACTATTAAATTTATTAGCTTTGAAATCAAACGACTAGATATTCTCCCCCGCTTTGTCGGGGAAAAAATATACACTTACCTGCTGGGCGGATTCTGCAGGTTCTCTCTGTAGATTATGGTGTTCGTGCGGGATCTCCAGATGAGCGGCATGATCAAGCGGGGTACAGAGTACAATGAAAGTGACTGACTAAATCGACGATGTCTCTCCTCTTCACCGAACACGGACGGGTGATCTGCAGTCTTTTGCTCTTATCACAAGCTTGCGAGTGCTGATAGCTTTGTTGCCTCTTTCTCCGGCACGAGAAGCGATCAGCACATTGTGTTTGGAGGCAAAGATGAAGAGATGTTGCATGTTGTTGTTGCATTGCAGCACAGACCTGGCTTTCCTCTCCCCGGTTCTTGCTTGTTGTCAAGTGATAGGTTGGTCTATACATCCTGACTGGCTAACAAGTACTCTGGATACTACTTTGCTACAACAAATAAATGTAGTTCTCAAACAGTCCTTCGTGATGAATGGGAGGCGAAGGTTTCTACTCCGTAAGTCAAAATTCAGCCAACTCTTCCATTGTCCAGTCACGTGGTCTAATGGTTATGATTTCTCGTTCACATCAATCTGACGCGCCGAGAAGGTTCCCGGTTCGATCCCGGGCGTGACTACTCTTTTTATATTTTTCACAATACACCTCATAATCCTAAGTTTGATAATCCTTGTCTTCTCGTAATCTATACTGTTTGTTATTATTGTCTGGGCTGCCTGGTATATTGCTTCCGAATTGGGTTTCATGTTCCATGGTTTCCTCATTCTCACGGTGGGGACATGGCCCGCACATCTTCCTGTGCTTTGCTCTTGGTCTTGGATACTGGTTCCATGCAAACATCGTAACAGACTGAAAGCCTTAACCTGACCCTATAAGCTTTGCCGGCTACTTCAATTGATTGTTCGTTATTACAGCAACGAATTCTTCTCGGTCTGAAGCACATCAGCCTCGTCGTCCATCTAAGCAAAGGCAGGCGTACCTTTTAGATGGGGAAATGTGATCGTTATTGGCCCCGTTTTATGCTCTCTATTTTGATTCTTGGCTGCCCCTGATGCGATCTTTGTCATGTTGAGGACCATCCCCCGTGAATAGCTGCTTGGGGGGAAGCTGACCAGGTTTCCGGCTCTGGATGGCTCACATGGTGGTATGGTCATTGTGAGCCACCTGTCCGTTATACGGTCGCTCCAACGTGAAGCAAGACGAATGGTATTTCCATCGCGCCATAGCTGGACTTGTGAGTCTCCTTTCACTGATTTTCTAGGACCGAGGACCAGTAGCTTTTCTTTAGTCGTGAGGGATGTGGCTCCCCTGGAGAAGACCAGCTTGTATGTTGATGCAAGCGAGGACATGAATGCCATCAGCACAGGCTCTTCGCTAAACTCCACTGTCATGTCCCTGAACTCTTTTTCGCAGTGAGAAAAATATACTCGGCCATCAGCCCGATATAGCTGGTCAACGTGTGATGATATGTAAGTGGCGAATAATGCACGGGGAAATCTCACACGGAGATTAGAATGGTCGTACAGGTAGTCCATATCCCTGAAGAGATAATGTAGACTGCACTGCTTCCATTCCGCACGAGTGCGACATATCATCACCGCCTTATAACGTTTCTCATCGGGCGCAATGTCAGCAACTTCGTAGACCTGCCCCGAGCTTTTGGCCTGAGACCAGGTGAAGGCGGGCTTCTGGCTTAGACCCAGAACAGCCCTTTCCAGTTTATCCGCAGCCTCCTGTGAGCGAAATTTGATACCAAGGCCTATGTTTGGATTGCTGCCGTCATAGACGTAAGTGAAAAGTGGATGGTAGTTCCCGTCTGTTTTGCTGGACCTCTCCTGACCAGTGTCTGACCATTTCAGCAAGATGAATCCAGAAGCCGCCGTACGGCTGACTTGTACATGGCTCAGAGGCATGAAGAACTCGGTAGCCTGTCCTGGCTTGTCAGCTATTGAAGAACTGATGACCATGCGTCGGATAGAGCGCCACGCCTCGCCAAAAGACCTTTCCAAGATGCGCACTTCGCAGGATCTGTGTACTGTGGGAGGACTAGTTGACACCATGCTAGGCATCCTCAACTGCTCAACTGATTCGGCCGGAATTTTGAAAATAACTTTTTCTGTGAACTGGTCGGAATCAAGTGGCTCCCGTATCTGGACGGCATCGAAGTACGCTTTGGGCATGCTGATCACTTGCATGATATCTGACATGTATTGAAATGAAATAGACAAAGTCATTGCGTCAAACTTCAGGGTCAGGGGTTCTGTTGGCTTTGGCACGGATAGATTGGTGAGTGATGCATTTGATACCTGGATCAGCTGAGCTAGATCCCCTGGTGCCACTGTAGAAGATTTAGCTTTGTCATGTATAGCCATCCAAGCCATATGTATAGACACTTACAGTCTCGCTGTAGACAAAATGTTCCGTATTGGTTGCAGAGGCTTATTTTGGGCTCGCTTTCACCATACTTTGTAGACAAAAGTAGCATGTACGGAGCGCCTCTGGATCGCATACGGAGCTTCTTAGCCCCGATCCCTGCATTCACGAAAGTGCGGAAAAGAACCTGCTCATCCTCTTTACCAGCATCCTCCAGTTCTACTGTAATATAGCAGAAGTTTCCTGGTTTAGCCGGTTGGCCATCCTTCCCAATCATCTCTTCGGGCTGTATAGGTTCCCAGAAGTCGAGGTTTTGCGAATGGATCGCAGCGTAATTGGGAACATCCACGGCGCTAAATTGTCCGAAGTCCTCTTTGAGACCCTTTGAATTGCTTAGCCTGAACAAAGTAAGATGTCTGTTGGTTGGCTTACGTCTGATAGATCTGAGATCATTTTTCTGATTTCATCCTCCAAAAGCAGCTGTGGGTTGTCACAATTCAAGACTATGTCATATAGAATATATGACGCTTTCAGAAGGTCCACATATGCCTGGTGACTCGAGTTACATGACAGTGCAGACGGGCTCACGCTTCCTCTGGTGCTTGAAATTGTTGATCTCTCGCTATTCGCAAGGGCTGTCCTGGCCTTTACCATACATAAGCAGCTGTCACGAGGGAAAGGCTAAATGGGTATGTATATAGTATACCTTCAGAAGCCACCACACAGCAACTAACAGCCAGCATCTCGCAGTGAGTTGCTGGGCCCGCTCTTCCTTGTGGGCTATATGATCAAAACTTGCGAGGAGTTCTGCATCAGGCTGATGCATCTTATCACGTGGTTCACACCGCAGCGATCGAAACAGCTGCTCTCGTAGTTGCCGTCGGTGGAGTTCTTGTATTGCATCAGCTCCTGAATGGCCAGGGCTACCCCACGGCGTTGACTCGCCTGGTTTTATTGAGGTTGACCGTTAAATTCGCCCTTGATGTTGGATAGCTGAGAATCCAGATCCTGGTCCACGAGACCAAACCACTTCTTTCTCCGTCGAAAAGACCTCTGGTACAATTGATTGCGAAGGGCTGTACGTCGAAGTAGCTGGACTAGTAGGTGAGGTGTACGTAGTAGCCGTGAAACTAGACGTGTCTGAGTGCCCCGACACAACGGATTCGGAGGAAGCCGAGACATGAGAGGGGTCTTCTGGCGGACATGCAGATTGTGGAGCGGCGGGATTTGACCTGCTTGGTTGCGTCCCTTCTAGCTCCGCCAGGATGAAGACATTCTGCTGGCGAGGCGTAGATACTGATATCGAAATCGGCGAGACGTCGTCATGTGCCTGCCAAGATGCCGGAGTTGGGGGAGGTATATCCTTTGCCGAATCCTTCGTCGCTGAACTTTCACTTCTTTCTATAGAAGGCCTAAATAGTGAGATAGAGTCAATAGTTTGGCTAGTTATGAAAGCTCACTTGGTGAGAGAGCCGACACATACACCCAAATGGCATGTATGAGCCACGATCTTAGACTTAAGATCGTCAATAAATGCCTGCTGTGTCATCCAATCTATGGACTGCCATAGCTGTCTCCCATTCTCAAACCCTAGATTTCGGTACATGTCGACCACCTCCTTCAGCTGCTGCAAGGTCCCTGAGCACGCATTCAGGCACCGATGGAGGGTATGCTTGCATTCCTCATCTGACTCTGAAAGCTCGATCTTGCTGGAGCTGACATCATCTTTCAGGGTCTGAAACACGCTATGCAGGGATTCCAGGCTCGCCACAAGCTGATTGAAGCCGTCAGGGGCATCTCCGGAGATAGAATTGCATGTAAGATATAGGTCGCGTGCCAGTTTGGTAAGTTCCGGAATATCCGCCGCTTCGAAGATGGAAGCCATCTCTCTTTTCACCAATTCAGTAAGCTATGATGTATTACCTGTGTCAATGATACAAATAGAAGGAATAGGAAGTTGCCGGAAATGTCAGTTGACGAGTGTTTCACGAGTAGGCAGCAACTGCAAAACGCTGGTGTCAAAGCCAGAGGCTGGTGGAGACGAAGGGCGCAGCACGTAGCCAGTGTCTCAGATCGATAGCTCGGCATACGTATCTTATAAACATACAACTAGGCGTGAAAGCCACGAGACGAACTTTGAAGGAAGGATGGCGCAAATGGGGGGCTTCATGTGACTCTTTCCTATACTGCGGATGGCGCGAAGTTCTAGTGTACCAACAGAACCCCCGGTTCTTGGGTAGGGCTTGATAGTGTTCTCGTGTAGAGAGAGCATCGGAAATGCAACCGATGGGCAAGATCACTACGAGGCGCAGCATGAAGTAGGACAGCAGGGATTGTCATTGCAGAGCTAGGGTACGAGGTAATAGAGTTTGGGCCAAGTGCGAATCACAGTGTCAGGAAGTGATAGCTCCGAGGCGATTCAACGCTCTAGATTCGTTTTCAGCGACAGGTGGTTGGCTGACGTACGGTGTGGTTCCTTTCAGTTTGCCCAGGAGCAACAAAGAGCGGAGTCGCCATACCCCGGACCATTGCACTGGGGTCAAGTTGGTCAAATCGAACGATCATGCATAGGGTCATAATCGCGGGATGCTGTGAGCAGCAATCAAGAAGGCTGTATAGCATTAAACTCCATATCTAGATGAACTTGATGAACCTTCTTGTCGGATCCGAGAGCATCGGCTCCGTGACGGACAGTCATGCCATCAGGAAGGGAACAACATCCATGGGCAGATCATCAACCGCTGGTGCGTGCGGAGTCTATCTAGCGTTAGCGCATAGTTCCTTCCTTTCATCGTCCGGATCCAGTCAAGACAACAGCCGCTCGTATCTGCCAATTACGGAACTGTACTTCCCTCCCTCCGCAAAGAGTATTTCGACAAGTACCATCAATGAAGATGAACACGACCAGGCCAAATGAAAGAATGAACAAGAAGGAGAAGTGTGAGTCAAGCTGAAAGAAAGCAAACAAACCCAACAAAGAAAGCGGTGGGTCATGCCGACCCAAATGGGTATAGTTTCAGGGTGCCTCAGGCGATGACGGAAATCCACGCGTTTCAGGGGTTCAAAAATAGCTTCTCCGTCAACAATAAATAGCATCATCTGTCTTTGATATACTACTTTTGCTTTTGTTGCTCATTGTCAGGTCACGCTGAGAGCGAGTGTCGATCACTATGGCATTTATAACATCGCTCGAGCCCCTTTGGGCAGCTTCGAGCCTCCAATTTGAGAACGCCTTTCAATTCATCAAATCCTTCACCGGTAACCAAACCGACATTCCTAAGACAACCGAGAAAATACTAGAAAGCCAGATTGGCTGGTCCAATCCTCCCGAACCATCCAACATGCCATTCAACATCGACCTTCAAATGGTCTTCTCGCTCTTCTACTTCCTCGTCATCTTCCTAATTCCTTTCTTCCTTACCAACTACCTCCTCCCTGCCTCGAGTCACTCCCGACGCGATCGCTGGCTGTTCGGATGGCACCTCTTCGATGCCCTCGTCCACTTCGGTATGGAAGGTCTCTTCCTCTTCCATTGCTTCTTCAGCTACGCCCCTATCTCCCCTAGCGAGAGCCGCGACCCCGTCTTCCTCGGCGATAAAGACCACGTCTACGGCGCCACATACTCCAACTCACCGACTGCCAAACTGTGGCATGAATATGCTCTAGCAGACCACCGCTGGGGTGGTGCCGATCCTACCATCATCTCGATTGAGCTCATCACTGTGATCTTCGGCGGTATCACCGCCTCCTTGATCAGCTATTGGGTCTATCAGGCTGCTGGCCGGCAGTCGAGGGAGAAAGAAGCGATCAAGGCAAAGATGTGGTTCATGATGATTGTGTTGGCAACAGCCGAGATCTACGGAGGCTTCATGACCTTCCTGCCGGAGATGTTGACTGGCAACACAGCGTTGGCTACCGATAGCTTCCTGTATTTCGTGCTGTATATTGTTATCTTCAACGGCCTCTGGGTCGTTGTCCCCGGTTGGATACTGTGGGAGGCATGGAAGGAGTTTACCGGCTCCTCCACCGTCATTAAGAGGCAGCGGGACAACTGCTCCCCCAGACACAAGCTTGGAAGGTGACTAGATGAACAGAATGTTCGAACGGACGATATGTCCACACGGAGGCAGCCCCATTACATGTGAGAACATACTCTCGGGGCTGCATGGAGGATTACGATACCCTGTTCTTTGCGTGACATGACCTAACGGGGATGCATAAGCGCTTGTTTGTTTTTTGGTATAATTTTTGACTATATATTTTGGTTATGATTGTTTGACACTTATTAGCTCCTGATTAATGTTCATTGCATACATCATCACATCAACCGTACCATATCTGATCTGATCTCTTCTTATCCCATCTTATCTTGGTGACACAACCACCTGGTAACCCCACAAACAGTGACGCATAAACAGCTCAATCTAGACCACACAACCATCCATAACCAATGAAAGCCCAGAGTTGATCGAGATGTCAAACAATCGCGAAAATCCACTCTTGAGGGGCCAGTCAATAGCTGTATGCGCCGGAGACGCGTCGACGTGAACTGCCGAGTTAATCTAATCTATGACTCACCTGGATCATTACAAGTGAATGACAGCATCCAGCTGGGCTAGAATAGGTACTTACCGTGTTATATAGCCCAGCCTATGCAGTCTCACAAGCACGCATATGGCTCACACAGAGCGAACAAGTAATAATGTAATAGGCATTAACACGAGGGAACACCAATCTACCCAAACTACAAACTGAACAGATTCCAAATCGGCCCCATAGCCAACAAATCCTCCATACTAACATCAGGCACCACTCCATCCACAACAGTCCCCGGCCCACTTGTAGACGACGCCGCCATCTGGACCTGCTCCTGATTCCACCTCCACTTATCCATAGTAGCGCAGCGCGCCTGATGCGCCTCCTTCCACATGACCGTCCTGGCTTTAATATGCGTGAAAATAGGCGGAACATAGAGATTCTCAGCCGTCGCCTGCGCAACAGTTTCATCGACTTTCAGAGAGAACATGTCGACTGTGTCTTCGAAGCTTATTGTCTGCCGGGCCCACTCTCGGTCCCAGCAGCCTGTGGGGTCGTTGTGGACGAGTAGTCGAGACAGGATGGCGAGGCCGTGGCCGACTTGCGTCCAGCAGGTGTATGGGAGTTGGAGGTAGAGGATGGGTGGGATGGAGAGGAGGGTGTCGAATAGGGATCGTGCGGCGTTGAGGCAAGCGCAGAGAATGTCGATTTGGGTGATAGGGTAGTTGTTGAAGGTTGTGTCTTCGAAGTCGCGCTCTAGGGCTATGCGGTATAGGAGCATCTCAAGGGTGTGGTAGTGCATGTTGAGGATTACTGTGGTGTTTGTTAGGTCCGAGGGGGGTTGGGTTAGGTTAGTTGGGGGGACGTACAAGATTGAGTGAATTCGCCTGAATATGAACCCTTGAGTTGCTGGATTTCCTTCTGTAACCAGCGTATTGCCATAGCTTTGGGTGCTAGGCCTGTAGGGGTGTCCTTTTCGTGGTACTGGACGGCGCGATATATTTTCTCGCCCATGTGGGCTATGCGGACTAGCTGCAGGAGGTACGGGTCGGTTTCACATTCGGCTGCTTCTTGAATTCTGCGGCAGCAGTCGTCTGTGTATGTTGTGTATTCCATGGGTTCCTTTTCTCCCAGGCAAAGTGATAACCTGTTACTGTTAGCGTTGAATGAGGCTGTCTTGATGCCGTGGCTCACATATTGACCACATAGTAGCATCCAAGGTAAGCTCTCAGCTCCTCTAAGGTGCGGGAATTGCGCATGCGTTCGTCATATTTAAAGACCCGGAGGTAGGAGAATACCGTGCCCGGAGTACACAACTTATTTTCCCGATGAAAGTCGAGGTTAATCACCTGCGCCTCCAGAATATGGAGATAGTTGTTGATCATCGTCGCACGCGGCGCAGGCACCATGGTCTGTGTCCTGATAATGTGTGAGAGGGTTAGATATCAGACGCTGCATGTAGGTGCTCTCACCAGCCAAGGTACGCGAGGAATCCTTGAAGTAGATCCAAGCTATGCTCCCCGTTAGCTAGCATATGCTCCATCCAGTAATCTCTGGCTTTGATTGAATGAGCCACCTGTGCAGATCCATCTTGGCAAACAACCGCCGGAATAACCAAGTTTAGGAATGGCTTGATGGTGCGTAAGTCGTCAAGACCTATACGAGGCGAGCGTACCACAAACGGAAGGAACTTTGTGATACGCTCATTGAAGTCTGCAAGCATTTTTTCCACATCCTCATCCAGTACAGGAGGAATGACCAGAGAATGGTCTGTGGCAGAAAATGGACTAGCATTGCTGCCACCGATGCTTTCTATGTACCGTTGCGAGGCTGTGAGCAGTGAAGTCACATTATCGAGCTTCTTCTCTAGTCGACCGACGTCACTACTGTACGGACTAGTCAGTAGCCATTAGTATCATTTCAAGCGCACGCGCAAACACATACGACACATTACGCCGCTTTCCCGTGTGCGGCTTCGAAGCCTGCCTGGTACATTCTTTCCCCAGACGATGACATCTGGCTCCGTCGTTAGTGCTTATCCTTTGGTCGGGTGGCCTCGTCCGTCTCTACCTTTGGCAAGCATCGGTCGGACCGGGGTCGCAGCGGACCTTGGCTTTGGAACAGGGTCTGCAGGCCTTAAGATGTCGAGCGTCAGGAGTGGACATGTCGGTCGGGAACGGGACAGAATGGAGGCATGGTTGTGAGTTGGAGATGTGCAGGGAGTGAGATGGTGGTGGTGCCGGTCGGCATAAGCGGCATCCCGCGTCCGTGTCGGCATTCTTTAGCACCGATTGTATAGATGTCAGATACAATAAACTTTACCTGCAATGTGTCAAGGTATAAATGAAGATTGGACGCCCTTTCCTTTTTCGATAACCAAGAAGAACATATCTAACATTCTCGAAGACTCCATTCCAACAACATAATGACCGTGACAGACGATTGCACCCAGCGCTACCCAGAAACCGGCATATCAGTTCTGATAGTCGGAGCCGGGGTCGCAGGACTAATGGCTGCTCTCGAATGTTGGCGCAATGGACACGACGTTCGTATCGTCGAACGATCTCCCGAAGAAGTCACTACAGGCAGGCCAGCCATCGTTCTGATCGACACAATTGAACACATCGCAGCTAACAAACCTACCAGGTGACTCGTTCACAATCGGCCCCAGTGCAACACGCGCATTCAAACATTGGCCCAAACTAGCCGAAGAGAACGAAAAGATTGCATTCGTACCTCATCTTGCTTTCTACACTTTGAGCGGTGATCGTGTAACAGAGCCGAATCATGTTGAATACAGGAAGGACAAGGGTTCCAAAAAGGTACCAGGGCAAATCACCCGCCATTGGAGACCCCAACTTCACGACATGCTTCTCAGGCAGCTCTACGTCATCGGTATCAGCGTCGAATATGGCTGCAGAGCGGTGGAATATTTCGAGATAAGTCATACTGGGCGTGCAGGTATAATACTGGCAAATAGCGAACGGCTAGAAGCAGACGTCGTCATTGCTGCCGATGGGTTGAGAAGTCATTCGACCAAAGTGACACTGGGGCAGGAGATTCGGGCACGACCAACCGGACAAGCTCTTTATCGGACAGCCTTTCCGGTCGAGATAGCCATGAATGATCCGATGGTTCGAGAGCGATTTCCGGTCGTAGGTGAAAAAGAAGGACCGATTGAATTCTGGGCTGGGTATGACTATACCTCCACAAGTTATCTATCTCCGTCATGAATAATACATACTAATGGAAAAAAGCGAGCACTACCATTTCCTCGTCATCAGGACATCCGATACTATGTCCTGGACTTTATCGCACAAAGTGAGTCAACCAGACATTTTGCCCTAACAACACACCAATATAGTATCCCTGCCCTTTGATCTAACATCGCAAATAATTTTAGGACTACGAAAGCGCCACCGAATCCTGGTCCCACCAATCCGACCCCGAAGACGTCCTCAAAATAACCTCAACTATCCCGGACTGGCCAGAAGTAGCAGATCGGCTGATCCGTCTCACGCCCAAAGACAGACTCCTTCACTTCCGCGTTATGTGGAGAGATCCCCAACCCACCTGGGTATCGCCAGCAGGCCGTATCGTACAGATTGGAGACGCCGCACACACATACATCCCAGCGTCAGGCAACGGCGCAACACAGGGAATTGAAGATGCAGTCTCGCTAGCTACATGCTTACGAATGGCAGGAGGAACAGAGCAGGTTCCGTGGGCGTTGAGGATCCATAATCGGCTACGGTATAACCATTGCTACCCCTCTCAGTGAACGATTTCTTACTGACAATTAATCTAATCCACCAGCTTCATCCGGGTCTCCTGTCTCCAAAAGCTAGGCCTCATCAATCTCAAAAGCTACTCCGAAAAGCCCAAGAAAGACAACTTCACACCAAAGGGGCTCCAGTATCTAACAGCGGAGTGGATCTGGGGTCATGAGCCGGAGACATATGCCGAGGAGAACTACAACAAGGTACTGGATCATTTGCAGCGGGGCACGCCGTTCCAGGATACAAATATACCCCGCGGTCATGTGTACCGAGACTGGACTATCGATGAGATGTTGGAGATGCAGGAGAGGGGAGAGGAGATTGAGTTGGATGGGGAGTGGGAGTAGATCATTACCAATGTGTTTGACTTGCTGTCTATAGTCTTGTGTTTATACGTAGTATATGCTACCTAATAATTAAAAATGCATTAACTGGATTTTGATGTTGTGCAAGAACCATGCTAACGACGAATATAGAATAAATGCAAATGGGAATCATATACAACTCTCAACCAAAACACAACATCATATATACAGGTAGAAAAAAAAGCTATCACTTCCTAGCAAACCGACACCTTTGATAGTCTACCACCGGCGGTACTACCCACATCGTTAGCATAAGAGCAAGAAAAAATCGGCATGTGCCATATCTAACATACCTCAGGGGGTCCCGGAGGGGGAGGAGGACCAGGAGGACCAGGACGGTCCCAAGGCCCCGGGGGGCCAGGAGGAGGGGGGCCACCATGAGGGCCACCAGGGCGATCCCAGGGATCCCTAGGACCCGGAGGAGGGGGAGGAGGGCCTGGCGGGGGAGGAGGGCCAGGAGGGCCGCCAGGACGGTCCCAGGGATCTCTCGGTCCCGGAGGAGGAGGAGGGCCGGGAGGACCAGCGGGACGACCCCAGGGGTCTCTTTGATCAGGAGGAGGACCATGAGGGCCAGGAGGGCCGGGAGGAGGAGGACGGGCCCAGGGGTCTCTGGGATCATGAGGAGGGCCGTGAGGGCCGGGAGGGCCAGGTGGTGGTGGTGGGCCACCAGGACGGTCCCAGGGCCCGGGGCCTGGAGGGGGCCCCTGGGGACCGGGAGGAGGAGGGGGATTATGATGGTGATGGTGTGAGAAAAGTCCCATTGTGAACAGGTTGTGAGGATGGATGTGAATGCTGTCTAAGGATGGAGAAGGTTGTTAAGGTCTTAAATAACCACGTTGCTTGAGGCTTGGGCGGCGGAGTGGGGAGAGGGGCCACACTAGGCAACGCCTTTCTTTAAGCAGATGTGGGACGGTGAATTCTCCGTGGTAATTACAGCATGGATGATATCGTTGGAGTGTGTATGGGGCTCTTATGTGGCTGGGTTGCTAACTAAAGAGTACTATGGGTATGAGACGGCGGTTCTACATTCAACCAACTCTTCCGTTCTCCTCCGCGTTTAACATTGTGTCCCCATAACTCGAATTATTAGGGGGAAAGAAATATAAACAATGTTGCCTATCAGGGGCTGTCAAACAAGTCGAATCCATGGGTTAGACTGGGGAATATTATTGAGACGAAGGGGGGGCGTCTAATACCAGGTTTAGGGTTTGCAGTCTCCATATTTTTGGTACGTTGGTTCCTGACAAGCCGCGCTGTGGAAGGGCCTGCTCATTTGAACTGTGGATGATGTTGATCACTAAATTGGACAAATGGCCATGATTTAGAATACATCTTTCAGTCCACATCATTCGAGATTAACTCTCAATTACTCATGCCTGATATCATTCCGATTTCCGAAGCAAGAAGTGGCCACAGGTCGGGATCGGTCGACGTTCCCCATAAGAGCGTTTAGGGCACAATTAGCGCCTCGGAGTGGATCAAAGCATACGTATGGCCCCCCACTATCGCCTCAGCCTTGGGAAGGTTGAAGTACATAATCAGTTTATTCTACTGTTGTTCGAGAAGACATGCTAGAGGCTAAGCCACATCATCGTTTGGGGAGACAGCTCGCTGACGTGTTGCTTATCTGTTCCGCATACATGCAGGTGTCAACCCACAAAGATAGCCACATTGCTGGGCTGAACATATATCAATGGTACCGAGAAGTAGGAGTTTGAAAGCTTCCGGGTATAGTTTTATCCGTTTGGCTTCGCCTCAAACACGAGGCATTGTGTTTATCGGATTTCTCTAGTGAAGTTTGGCAGGAGTTCACGGTACTGGTTAAGGGGGAGGAGCAACCCCTGTGAACGGGTCTACCAAGACTACCCGTGCATTAAACTCCGAGTGTTAAGCTACAATCTAACGAGTCTCAACGCCGAGCATAATGTCCACAAGAGCACTAATTCGGAAATATGAGGTGTCTGTCAGTGATAAGGAGCTCTCAGAGCGTCCTGCTAACATTCCTTAGATCCGGAACAATTGATATCTATGTACATGCATCTTATTCCTCGTCTTCTTCGTCGCTCACTTCTTCACCGGCTTCAATAGCCTCCTGTCTCCTCTTCGCCGCAAGTTCCCTCTTCCTTTCTAGCAGCTTCTTCAATCTCTTAGCCGTACTGAATAATCCATTCGTGGCGGATCCACAGGCTGCACAGCTTGGATCCTTCCTGTACCGTTGCAAAGCACACTGCTCGCAGAAGTAGTGGCCACATTTCGTGACAATAGGCTCCCTGTATGGTCCTTTGCAGATGAAACAAGCAAATGGAATGTCTTCCAGCATAGCTTCTTCATCATCGTCCTTGTTCTCCGTCGTTGTCCGGTCGGCACTCGCGACCACGGTTCCCTTCAATTGTTTGCCCTTGGTGACGGTCTCCCACTCTCGATCAAGTTCCCATCCTTGTTTGTAGTCGCTTCGATCGTGGAGGAATTTACTATACAAGAATTGTTAGCGTATGTTTCAAGAAGAGAGGGTACCCCCTATCAGGTGGCAAATATGTCTGTCGAGGGTAAAGGAAGACACTTACCAATTATCACCGAAACCACAGAACCCAGTCTGCTTGTAATCCTTGCACACATCTGGAGAATAATCTGTCACCGTTATGGTACGGATATTCGTCGCCGCCTTGATCGGTCCAAATGATCTGTTGGGCGCATTCGGATTCTTCTTGATGAATGATGTCTGGTTCGCCAGTCCCTTATATGTGCCATCCGGCATCTGCGGCTCACTCGAAGTAGCTTGAGTTTTAGACGAACGCGCATCCTTAGAATCCTCGTCGAACCAGTCGACATGCTTTGTGGCGTCGTTTGTATCCGCGAGCTGGACTTTGCCATCACCGGTGGCGGTGGTCGCAGGTTCCCGATCGACAGGCTTGGTTGTGGCGGATGAAGCAGAAACTATCCCAGCACCCTTGTTCTTTCTGCGCTTTATCCTGTGACCCGATTCATCTTCAGAGGAGGAAAAGTCGGAAGAATCGTCGTCTTGCGATACGGGAGGCGGTGCAGGTCTTTTGCGGATGTTCTGACTGGCCTTTGCGCCACGCTTTTTGAAAGTGACAACCGGGGGTTGAGGGTCTGCAGCCGCAGCTGCGGCTGTCTCGTTTGCTGTCTCAGCCATTGCGATATGAGCGACGGGTCTGCGACGGGGATCTGTGAGTTGATGCGAGACGAGAAATGACCAAGGACATCAAGGACGCGATAAACGTTGATGCGCCCTGATCATGTGATGATAAGATAGAGTTATTCCTCACGTGATTATAGATCTGCTGATGTCATCATCGAAGACGCGCGAAACTTCCTAAGTAAGTTAACTTCTACAATATGGATGTACACCGATGACCAAATCCCGCTAATACAGGGTTTGCCTGGTGAGCGCCTTCAGCAGAGTTTGTGTGCAGCGTCATGGCGCAGATGCGTCAGCCTTGTGCTGCGCCACGGCAGGTGCCACCGAACTGGTGGTGTTTCCAGCATAAACTTGACGAACGCCGGTTGATTGGAATTGCAGATGACAGCAAGTTTCTCCGAGGGAATGCTTATGACAGTTGCCTAATTGACTGCGATCATCATGACCCTGTTCTCAATGACAGTCAAGCAGAATGAGAAAAAGTATAAGGACCAAAACGGCAGCCATATTAAAAGGTTTTGCTCGATCGCGGGATCGAACCGAGGATCCCGTGGGTTGTAGCCTTAACCACTGGACCAATCGAGCACAACCAAGGGAAATCGATGTTACTGCCGCCTGCCCGACCATAGCACTCAGTCCAGTATGAGTAGCCCATATCAAACCAGGGTAGTCCCTGCCTGCTTGAGATGACTTGGTGGATCCTGCTAAACTCTTCCGATCCCACGGTTCCTTCCAAACTGGGGATCTTCAAGAGGCGGTGCTCATCATGACTTCGCTCCGCCTCTGTTCGCGGAATAAATACCCTGGCCCTCTTCTCTCCCTGAAGCTTCTTCTTCCTTCTTAATAACAGATAGATTCTCCTCTATTCCTATACCATCATGTATCCCCATCAGAACCGTATGTGATGCCCCACAATTGTCCCCGCGTTCCTGCATCATGCTGATCAAGCGCTTCATCACAGGCCCTCCGTATCCTCAATTCACTGGCCCGCCGCAGGGCTACGGTCAACAACAGAACCCATCACCATTTCCTCCTCAAAACCAGCACCACATGGCTTCTCCGCCTTATCCGAACCAGCCTGGCTACCCTCCCTACGGCGCTCCACATCCTAATCAGCCTCCATATCCTCATACTCCACAAGGTGCTCCTCCAGGTCGACCAGAGATGTACCACGGGGGTCCACAAGGATATTCGCAAGGCTTGCCTCCTCCACAGGGCGCTCCTCATGGGCCTCCACTAGGCATGCCTCATGGATCGTTCGGTGCGGCACCTCCCTTGCCGCCACACCCTCAATCTTATCCCCCGCTTGCGTCCGTGCCATCATTGGGCTACGTTCGAGGTCAGCAAGCAAACGGGGACTTCCGACCCCAAGCCGATCAGCTCCGTCGCGCAATGAAAGGCTTCGGGACAGACGAGAAGACCCTGATTCAGGTCCTCGCCAAGCTAGACCCTCTCCAAATGGCCGCCGTACGATCCACCTACACACACCACGTCCGTCGAGATCTCTACAAGGATGTCAAAGGCGAGACAAGCGGCTACTTTCGTCGGGGTCTCCTCGCTATCATTGATGGCCCGTTGCAGTACGATGTGGCCTGCGCCAGGGAAGCTGTCGAAGGCATTGGGACGAAGGAATGGCTTCTCAACGACATCCTTCTATCACGGTCTAATGCTGATATGAACGCCATAAAGGCCGCTTATCACCAGACATACCACCGCGCTCTCGAAAAGGACGTTGAAGGTGACTTGTCATTCAAAACCCGGAACTTGTTTACCCTGGTACTTCGCGCCACTCGACACGAGGAATCCGCCCCATTAGACCCGCAACTCATCGAAGCCGAAGCCAAGTCCCTTCACCAAGCAACGGCGGCGCGCATGGTCAACAACGTTGATGAAGTATGTGGTATCATAGCCAGGGCCTCGGATAACGAGCTCCGTGCCCTCAATCATGCATTCTATACCCGTTACAACATTCAGTTGACCAAGCATATCGAGAAAGAGTTTTCCGGGCACATGAAGGATGCACTGCTGCATATGCTCGGGGCTGCATTGGATCCGGCCATGCACGACGCTGAGCAGCTCGAAGACTGCATGAAGGGAATGGGAACCAAGGACGAGAAATTGGTGACAAGAGTGGTCCGCCTGCACTGGGCACCTGGGCATCTGGACCAGGTGAAACGGGCATATCGCCATCGGTTCCAGAAAGACCTTATCGAGCGGGTCAGGGGGGAGACCAGCGGTGATTACCAGCGATTGATGGTTGCTTTATTGCAGTAGCCGTACTTGCTATCGCTTTCTTAATGCTTACTCGACGAAAACAGCCATGACTTACGACTGGGCAGGGTATGGTATGGTGCGGCTGGGTCTGTTTCTGCATTATCCTTATGGGCGATGATAGACTGGGCTGGATGGCTATTTTTCATTGCCTTTATTTAGTTGACTGAAGAATTGCGATGATTATCATCAACGCGGGTTAATCCTATCTAGCTAGTTCTTTCGATCAATGAGACCATCAAGATTGTTTCCAATCTGTGAATCTACCCTATCATCAATCCTCATATTAAATCTGTATTCAAGAATTCAAACAGGAAAGATGGAAGAAAATGAGTAATATGCCAAACACAAACCTCCCAGATAAAACAGATAGATACATACATCCAAGCCAATGCATCTACTCAGAGCATACATAAAAGCACATTTACTAGCTCAGAAACCAATCCTCAAGCATTGACCTATTCGTTCATTCATTCATTCATTGATCATAAGTAGAGTAACAACAACAACATATACTACATACAAAACATAAGTCATGAAAACATATCATCATCATCAGTCAGTGAACCCCGTAACAAATCACGCAGCAAAAGAGAAAGAAAAAAAAAAAAAAAAAAAAAAAAAAAAAAAAAAAAAAAAAAAAAAAAAAAAAAAAAAAAAAAAAAAAAGACAAAAATCAATCAACAGCATAAACGAAACCGGAACTGCCACCATCATAATCATCTCAATCGATTAAACCACCTCCCCCGCAACAAACACATGCGCCCCCGGAAACAACCCCGTCAATCCCGCATAACACCCCCAATACCAATCATCATTGATATTCTCTGCTTCGGTGATTTCCGCTCCGCGCGGGAACATCAGTTCGTCTTTGACTCCGTCTTCGGGGTACCATGACCACAGGGCATGGACGACTAAGCCGACGCCGCCGTCGGGTGGGTAGCGGCGGGTGCCGGTCGTGTTCATCGTATTGTTGGTAGTGGTGGTGGGGGATGAGATTTGTGAGGATATAGCTGGGCTGGATATAGTGAATGGGGAAGAGGTGGGGATGGTGGGTGTGCTTGGTTCTGAGGAGCGGTCACGATCACGATCACCGATAGTCCAAGGTCTGATCCGAGAGGCCTTTTTGCGGCGCTCAGAGCCCTCTTTCCAGCTCCAGTCGCCGGAGCCGACTTCGGGGGAGGCGATGGTGGAGTTGGAAGTGGAGTTGGTGGTAATTGGAGAGGCGGTTAGAGAGGAGGGCTGGATGAGGTGGTCGTCGTTGAGGGCACGGCCGCCTACGAGATCGCGGAGGATGACGCGGCGTTGGCCTTCTTCGTGGTCTTCGAAGCCGATCACCGCCATGCGGTGGCCTTTCAGGCAGCGGCGCCAGCCGTTGTGGCCGTTCTCTTTACGGATTTTGCCGATGGCCACGAGACGGAGGTAGCAGTTGGTGCAGATGTCGTAGTCGCCGTTGTTGCATTGGAGGCAGTGGAAGCGCGGGGTGGAGTCGGGGATGGGGTGCGTGCAGATGTCGCAATTTGTTGCAATGGAGAGGATCTTGTAGGTTTCAAATGATGGGGAGGGCGTGTTGTCAGTTGCGGTTGCGGTTGGAGTTGAGTTGCTGTCGGGTGGTATGCGGCAGATGGGAAGGAGGGCATGGGTGCAGCATCGTCCTTGGTTCACGCAGCGGTTGCAGAAGCCCCAGTCGCCTTCGTTGCATTGGTCGCACTTCCAGTAGCAGTCGTTCGCTGGGGATTGGCAGCTATCGCAGAAAAAGCCGGTTGTAAGTCTTTGGGCTGGGTCGTCGGTGGTCATAACTCGGCCGTCTCGGTCGGGACGGTAGGCTATGTCTGGTGCCCGACGGTACTTGCACGACTGTAGGATGTGCTGCTGGGAGCTGCTGCGAAGTGGCGAGGGATGGCCACTTGAAGAAGCGATAATACGTTCAAAGTCCGCTTCTGCGGATTTGGCGAAGCCTGCCCATTCGAGACACCCTTCGCCGGTGCGATAGCATCTCAAGCACAGGTGGTATTCGCCACCATTGCATTTGGGACATTTCTTGTGTAAATCATATTGTAGCTTCTCCTTGCCACAACGGTCGCATGAAATAGACGGTTCGCTGAACATGATAGCAGAGCGAGGCGCATTGGACCGAGATGAAGATGGTCGAGATCGCGCCTCTGATCTGCCTGTCCCTCCCACCTCTGCTACCAAGGAACTGCTCGCGGGCACAACCATCCCCGGACTCGCTGGCCAGGAGCCGGTGTGTGTGTTCTGCTCAGGAGCTGCAACCACCCGTGGTGAATCGATGGATAATCTACCAGGAGCTCGTCGGATGGCACGTTCCCTAGCTCCTTCCACCCAGATATTCGGTGTGCTCTGCTCAGATGCCGTGGCACGTCGAGAGCGCGGCGACGAATCCGTTCTGACTCGGACAGCCTGCGAATTCCGGGGACGGTCGGTAACCACGTCACTAGACGATCGCGCTGCAGGCCTCAGCGTGACCTCCGACGAAGAAGCAGGATTCGCAGGCACCGGTGACGTTCGCCGACGGCTGCTTCCCTGATCCGACAACCGCCTCTGATGACCCGGGTTCCCATTTCGTGCCACGAGGGGATCTAGTAGATGCGGTCTCGACACAGGAGGATTCCGGCTAGTCTCATTTGGCGTAGTAGAACTTTCCTGTGGTCTCTGCGTAGAATGCGAGCGAGCCCGAGCCCGTGACGACGTCTGATTCGTCTCCCGCGCCTCCAACCGTTGCTGCGAGCGAGAGCGCAATCTATGCCTCCGACGATACGCATCAGCGATGCGCTCACTAAGCTCCTCTTCCTGCGCCGGACCCAGATTATCGAAGTCGATATCATCCAACAGCCCCTCCTCCAGAATCTGCCGTAGAATCTGATCCTGTATCGTCTCCGTATCCGACAAACTCAACAACGATCGCAAACTAGACTGATGCTCTATGCGTCTATTGCGCTCCGCAGCAGTCTCCCCCTGCCGTCGCCGCGCAGCACGCTCCTCTTCACGTCGTCGTTGTCGCGCCCCATCCACCTCAGCACTCGATTCCGTGCGACGAGTCCGCGACGACTGCCTCGACCGGTGACCAGTAGTAGCACTAGCATTTCTCGCCCGGACCCGACTTTCCTGCAAACTCAATTCCCTTACCTCCTCCAACAGCCTCCGATCCTCATCATCCGACACATCACCCCTCCGATCCGGCGACGACAAAACAGGGAACACCGAATCACCATGTTTGTATCTCTGCGCAATCTCCTCCTTCTCCTCCGCCGACTTATCCCGGTCGGGACTCGCCGCCAGGACCATATCCAGTAACGTAGTAACGGTGGCATTAGGGCGGGTTTCACGGACCACCGCGCGACAGGACGGACAAGTGAAGCGGACGGAAGATGACGACCGGGCGCGGGAGGCTTGTGCAGAGAACCATTCTTTGAGACAGGAGCCGCAGAAGGTGTGCAGGCAGTCGAGGAGGGTGAGAGGCTGGTAGAGCAGATCCGTGCAGATCTGGGGTCGGAGGGGGGAGAGTTAGCCGGTGAACTTTAATAAACTGCACAGAAACAATCCGAGGATGTGTCTTGCTGCTTCTGGTCTGTCTAGCATCTACTGGGAATAATTTCCGGCCAGTTATTTCGCTAGTCGATCAAGGCGAAGCAAGGGACGGTGAGATATTTCGTGGGCGGGGGAGTCGCAGACCGCATTCCGCACATCTTCTCCCTCCCCCACACTACTTTTCTGGATGGATGATGGATGGATTTACTTACCGAGCAGGTGAGTTCTTTCTCCAGGTCCCCTAGACCGGGACCGGGATGGGGGTCGGTCGACATGGGGTATGCTGGTTGGAGAAGAGATGTTGGATAGATTTGTTGGATGTCATAAAGGGAGGAAAGGAAGAGAAAGAGATGAAGAGAAGAGTAAGTAGGAGTAAAAGGTAATTGACAGGGCGAGTAAACAGGCGGTGGTTGGAGAGCGAATCAATCGATCGGGCGTCCCGCGGGTCGATCGCGGCTCGGATCCACTGAAGAGACCAAGTTCATTCATTACCCATACTAGTTAACATTCTACAACACTAAGTTAAGTTATCGCTAAATAATATAACAAGATACACGACTACTCTGCTACTTCACTCAGTCCTTGCCATATCCCTCCTTCTCCCAAAACCAATGATACAGACTCTTCGCACTACCATCATCCTCGACATAATCTCCCACCATCTCCGCCGTTTCGTTCGAATCCGCTAAATCACTGGAAGTCATATCCACCGTCACACCCCCGGCCTGGTGACTCAGGGCTTCTTCCGTGCCACTCCGGGTCCTCTCGGCCAAATCACGAGCACCCTCACGAGCAGCATCAGCAAATTCCTCCGCCTGTTCGCGAGCCCTTTGAAGTAGTTCCTCCGGGGTCGGATACCTCCGAAGCGCAATGAGCAGCAGATAATAACTCTTCACAATAGTCGAATACACCGCATCCTTCGCGAGCATCGTAAACCCATGTGAAAAGAACCCCTTGAGCACCTCCCCAGGTAGTCCAGCATAAAGCGCAGCAACACCCTCAGTGCGCGCAATTGCAGCCACATTACTAACAATCGCCGGCATCAACGACACCCCTTCATCCTCCTTCTTCTGTTCCCCATCAGCTCCCACCGTAATTCGACTCCCCGCAACCTGCGCCCGCGTCTTCGCCATCGAGAATGGATACGTCACCGACGAAGCAATCGACTTGCTAACGGCCGCCAAGAAGAACGTCGCCACAGCAGACGGTCTCTTCTGTCGCTGACTCCTCGGCAACAACGCATACTTTAACACAGCATTCAGAAAGAAAGTAATCGACGGATTCAGCGTGAGTATCAACGAAGCCGAATACCCCGACCAGAACCCCCGTATCCCCTTCTCAGCCCTAATCCGCGCCGCAATCTCCCTCGTACTCCCACCACCAACATCCTTAGCCGTCTGCTTCCTCGCCACAATATTTGCCAACGGCGTCGTAAACAGCTTGGCAAACGCCCCCGCCAAAACACCCACCGCTAACTCATCCAGCACCGGTAAAACCGTATGTTTGCTGCGGCGCGTAGTCCCAAACCGAGCGCGTATCCTCCGCTGACGAAAGAACTCGTATGCAAGGAAGAAGAGAAACGAATCCGCAACGGACTTAATCGTATCCTGCGCTAGACCCGTGTAGAAACTGGCGATTCCTTCCTCGGCGTAGATTTTGCGTGCTGCATCGAGGACGCTGGTGTATTCGTCGGCCGACACTGATTTCTCCGACTCCGTACCCCTTCTCACCTTCTGCGTCTGCAATCGCGCAACGATCAAACTCAACGGATACGTCGCGACGTTCGAGAGCGCGGAGCCGACTGCTCCTGCGACGGCATTGCCCAGCGCTGGAAGTGCGGGCCCGCTGAGAGCGGCGCGCTTCCAGTCGAGGTTCGGTTGGGGTTCTTCGTAGCGGTGGTAGAGCTGGAAGGAATCCTTTCATATCAATATTTTCGTTAGCATTCTTAATATCCCGTCCATCCCCCTGAAGAATAGAAGAATCATTCATGACATCATTCAATGACCTTACCAGCTCCGAATCATACTCCACCTTGTACTCCGACATATTGATTCCACTCGGCCCAAGGAATCTCCAAGTAGATAGTGACTGTGTTTCAGAGAGGATAGACGAGAAATGAGGGGGAGAGAGAGAGAGAGAGAGAGAGAGAGAGAGAGGATGATCTACGAGGAATGTGCAGATTGACGGTTATTTAATCAAGTGACTGACTGGATAGGACAATCAACGCAGGATGGCTAGTGAGAAGATGCATGTCGTGTGCGCATCAGACCACCCAGTCTTGCACATCACCCAAATACTAACTAGTAGGTAGTAGGCAGGCAGGTACAGTGATATATGATATGATGTGATGGGTGCTTGTGCCGACCGAGGTAAGTTCTCTTTTACTGTGCTACCGAATGCTTTTAGGCCCTTACGTCATGTGGGAGCTGGCCTGTGCGGGGGTGCATGTGATCGGATGATTTTCTTCCTACAGATTCCAGAACAATTTGAGTAGGGGGACGATTTCCTCTTACGATGGCTGTGCTATATATACATATTACGGCTGGAAAAGCAAACAGCAAAAATCAAGTATCAACGATCATTCACGTGATATTTCGTCCATCAAGCCTCGAAGGGCCGTCTAGATACAATGATTTCGAATCCATCCATCCATCCGATCCCATTAACAAAAAATAAGCAAGTTGTAAGAGTATCAAACCCGTGGACATAATCCATTCCAATTGTAGAAAAAAGAACCCCAGTTATCCCAAACCCCAATACCGTAACGAGTCAAAAGAAATAGCCCCCAGAAATCAGAAACAGAATGTACGGCGGATCCTGCCGGTCTAGTCCACAATCCAGTCGAAGGTTCACAACCAGAGAGACGACAAACACCAGAGCAGTAATCCCTTCCGATTGGTTGAAGATAATCTAACCACCGAAACCGTACAGGGTGCGGCCCTGGCGCTTGAGGGCGTAGACAACGTCGAGGGAGGTGACGGTCTTGCGCTTGGCGTGCTCAGTGTAGGTGACGGCATCACGGATGACAGACTCGAGGAAGGACTTGAGGACACCACGGGTCTCTTCGTAGATCATGGCGGAGATACGCTTGACACCACCACGGCGAGCAAGACGGCGGATAGCGGGCTTAGTGATACCCTGGATGTTGTCACGCAAGATCTTACGGTGACGCTTGGCGCCACCCTTGCCGAGACCCTTGCCTCCTTTTCCGCCTGTGAGAGAACATTAGTACATGTTGAGTGATGCTTTGTTTGATTAAGGAAGTTAGGTATGTGAGGTGGAGTGAAGATCAGATGAAATCTTGGACACGACGCGTGGGCGTGACAGGTACGCGGTCACGTGTTACCAGGGGTGCATCATCAAGATCATCCAAGATCATCACCACCATCCCAACCCGAGAGTAGGGAACGACGAGGAACTAATAGCTGAAGCAAGGAAAGAAGATAAAATACTTACGTCCAGTCATAATGCTGAGATGAGATTAATTGATTGGAAGAAGTATGAGATGGAAAATTGATGGAAGGTGGTGGGTGATGGATGGTTTGGCGTGACGCGTTGCGGGCCGGTCGCTGAGAGGAAGAAAAGAGTCGAGAGAGAGCGAAAGAAGGTGGCGGAGAAGGAGGAGCCACCGGTTTATATAGATTTCGCGGTGCGGGCGGCAAGCGAGAGCGTGATCTCGCTGCTTTGCCCCTTGGGAGTGAATGACTAAGCCCCAGAGGGTGATCTGGAAGGGTCAAAAGCAATGGAGAAGCCTGATTGGCGGGCCGCGAGGGTGAAAAAGGGCGTTATGAACGACCGCTTTCGAGGTGGTGATTTTGCGGGTTGCGGGTTGGCGCTGTTCCCGCTGGGGACCAACTTCTGCTGCTGCCCGCGCGGCTCAGGCCGTAAGGCGGCGGGTCCGTCACGTGAGACTTGGCGGCCGGTTGTCACTTCCTCACCATATACGCTGTACAACATAGATGGATTTTACTCTCTACATCGGTGGCAAACTTGCATCTCTCGCAATCTAATCAGTTGTATTGTGTACCATTGCATAATCTGGATAGCAGCTACATGCCCTTCACGGACCCTCCCTGGAGCACAGCAATTCGGATATTCGGATAAAAATGTGAACCAATGCACCACCCACCCTTAGCAATAATGGAGAAATCATGAGCGTAGAGAAGAATTAAAACATAAGGTACAGAAAACAGAATAACTCATACTCCGAACACCATACAGAAGCTCATCATTAACGGAAGTAGATGACGAAAAACAATGATGCAAATGCGTTAGACCACTTCAATGCGAACACTTTTCCTTGCTTCGCCTCCTCGCTTCCCTGGAAATGCTGCGCAGGAACCTACCATGCATCCCATCCACTCAGTAAAGGTAGCCCCGGCAAATAACTGACAAAAATAACTGCAAAGGAAAGATACAAGACATCAAATCGTAATCGTTACTGTAGCAAAATCGTAGCCGCGCCCCAGTGTATTGGAAAAAGCCCCCCTGTGTTGTATAGGTAGGAAACAATGCACCTCCCAGCATAACGTCAGATCCCGCGGTTTATAATACATCGCAAAGGATCCTCGTAGATACTTAGGCGGGCGCATCAAGAAAAGTCGAGTCGAAGATGGGAACGAGGCGGCTTCATGGACACCAGGTGAGCAGGTCGGGTTGACAACTGCACTGTCGTTTAAGAGTTTCAAGTCATGCTTGATAGCCTTCAGAAGAAAGCTTATCCCCACTGGGGTAAAAAGAGAAAGAGGGAAAAGAAAAATTTTCGTGTCTTCCATCGACGGAGGGACACAGAGACATGTAGAAAGCAAAGGTCGTTCGCGTTGTGATCTCGTAGGCGGCGGGGTCTAAAGCGCTTATGCATCTTCGTTCATCCTTGGATGATAGCAGGTGTCTGCGTATCCTTCATGAAACTGTTTTGCATAGGCTGAAGATATGGATATCCGATATGGTTCGGTGACGACGGAGCGGCAGGGGAGTGTCGAGAATCACCACCATAAACCCCATCCATGGGAGGAGATGAGCAGGGAGACACCGAGCTGGAACTGCTACTAGACCCCGTCCGGATTTCGTAATCCGGACTTCCCGTGACGGGACCAACTGCACCACTTGGATAATTCATCGATCCGGATCCGAAGAAGCAGTATTTATCAACCAACTCTTTATACACCGACGACTCGCGATGCGGCTTGCCAGAAACGATGGTAGAGGGTTTATGGTGGTCTGAGGACCCTGGTTGCTGGCTACCTCTGCTAGGCAAAGGCGCGTTCTCCTCCTTGTGGCTTGCTTTCCGTTCCGACGAATGGCCGTGACTACCATGCGATGGGAGTTTCGATTTTGCTCGAGCTGTCAATGTCGTGCGATCGTGAGTAGGTTTGGTCCGCATGGCTGCCGACAAGGAGGCTTCGAAGTCGTAACGATTTCCAAAGACCTGATGGTTCTGCTTATCGCGACGTATCGGAGCCACCATTTCAACATCATGCGGATCATCATCACCCAAATGTTCCTTCTTGCCATTCGTTGGTGGGTTGCCGAACGAGATGTACTTGTCCATCTCAGACAAGGCATCAAATGAAGGCGGCATTGAGTGAGGGCGACTGTTGGATCCAGCAAAGCTCCTGCTCCTAGGCAAATTCGTACGAGGACGTGCGGAGGGAGGAGCACGGGCCTGGGGCATTTCTTTTTGTACCCTGCGAAAGTTGACTTGGTAATTTTGTGAGTTGTTGTTGTCCCAGTACTCCTCTCCAGCGACATTGTAGCGAATGCACACAAACATGGTTTTCCTCTCCAAGTTTGCTTGGTCATCCAGCCGGATGCTGAAAGCAAACCTGTCATAGCCATCCTGAGTAGGCTTCCGTCGGGGGTCATCATTGTACTCGGCTGAGACTTCAGAAACAGTCTTCCAATGATCGAGAGTAAACCGAGCAGCAACGTGCTTGTGGAAAGCCAGGTTGGCAACCCCAACGACGCCGATCATGGTGTTTTTATCCGAAGACAAGTGCAGGCGTTCCAATCGAACGCGTTGCTTAGCCCGAGAAGGGCTGTCTTTAGGAAAGTTCGACAGACCAAGCTCCCATTCAAAAGCGGGCATGTCCCGATGACCCTTCTTGAACGGAAACTCCTCTGCTGCGTCATAGTCTTCCACTGGCGATGTGTCTGCACTTACGGCTTGAGGCTTATCCAATTGCAGGAAATGACGGATATGTTCCAGCTGAGCGTCGAAGTGAACCGCCTTTGCGTAAGTTGGAGTCCCCGGCATGCTAGATGGGCGCCGCCGAGCCGAAGGTGGGCGAAGAGCTGGTCTCACCAGTTCCCCAGACTTCTTGCGGACCATAGGGTGCCTGACCGGGGGCTCGTCATCTCTGTCACTTTCTTCTGGAGAGCTAGTCAAAGCCTCCTCCTGTCTACGGTCAATTGAGGTTTCTGTAACCGATCGAGAGTGGGATATCTTGCGGGCCTCTCTGGAGAGGGGCGGGCGTGGAGGTTGAACAGGGCCACCAGCAATGGCTGCCATGCTCGATGAGGACTGCACCTCCGACAGCTGTCTCTCCGGCGAGGACACTCGTCTCTGCTCAATGGACCTCACAGCAGCCTCCAATTTCTTCAGCTGGAGCCCGTCCTGGGATGGGTATGACACCTCTTCATCACTTGAATTGTTGGCAGATTCAGGAGGTGAGATCAGGGCCCCAGGAGGGATGACAGCATCACTTATGGGAGGCGGCGACGTTCGAATACTGGCATGAGGGTCGTTGACATGATCCACTTTGATATGAGCTTCAGGCTCTGGAAAGACAAAGACCTTGCTACTTGAAGGGCTTCGTCGGTGCCTTCGCACATATGAGGTGGAAGAATACGAGCGAGGCAGATGCTGGCGTTGATGGTGAGAGACGACAGCGGTGGGAGAGCTAGGACAGGATTGTGGAGTGAGTTCAGAGTGTTCAATGTGCTGCGCAGAAGGCGACGTCTTCAACGGCGCAGTGTATGGCATCCGGCCGGGAGTGCTTGTGTAAGCAGACACAAGAGTGGGCAATGAGGTGGAAAGTAAGATCGACAGGGTGGTGAAGCTCGTTTCAGGAAAGGTCTTTATGAACAGAAGGCTTCTGGTCCTGAGAAACGGCGTCTGTTGATATATTCTAGTTTCCCCACGTTAGCCAGAGTGTGGAGGCGGCGCCTGGAAGCGATATCAAACAGTGGCGAGGATGATGAGCAGCAGCAGCAGCAGCAGCAGCATTGCCTCCACATGGGCGATCATATCAAGAAAAGGGAAGATGGAGGGCCGATGTTACAAATCATGCCAGACGGTCGGTAAAAGAAGAAGAGGAAAGTGGTGTGACTGGGGGGTCAGGGTGTTCCAGGGTATCAGAAGGAGCGTTGGAGGCAAAGCCGGCGGCGGAGGGCGGATGCAGCCAACAGGGTGTTACGAGACAAGAGATCCCGGGCAGTGGCACAGATGAGAGCAACGATCAAGATCCCAAACACACAAATCATCGCTGTGATTTGCATTGGAGGCAGTTGAGGGAAGAATAGTAGCCATGCGATAAGAAGGATTCACGAAAGAAAAGCACGAGGTCGACTCGACGAATACACTCACCTTGCGGACTCGACATCTAGTATGAACTGAACGTGGAAAAAACTACAAACATGAAAGAAAAGAATAGGGAGGAACAGAGAAGACAAATAAGAAGCTGGGCAGTGTGTCGAACAGCCGAGCAGGGAGTAGTTTCCAGCACAGTGAAGAGGAATTAGATACAAAGAAGTTCGTGGTGAATCGAAAGAGAAACGGGCGATGGATGGATGGGTAATGGAGTATATGAGAAGGTGACGGAGGTGGAGAAGAGAGCAAAATATTAGGGTAAGCCGCACTTGACGGGGAAAGAAAGAAAGAAAAATTAATTAATTTGAAAAAGGGAAAAAAGAAGAGAAAGAAAAATCCAAAACAGAAATAAGCATGGAAGTTGGAAAAGAAAAATAAAAATAATCCCAAAGGAAAAAGAACCTCTCTGGAATGATATTGATAAGGGAGCTCGGACGTCAAGAGGGATCGAAGGCAAGGAAAATTCGGTACGTCCTGGTAAAGTTGGTAACCTTCAGCCAGGGAGGGGCAAAGAAACATGCTCGGATTTCCCCTCTCCGTCACTTTCTACTTGCTTTTCCCCTGAAGGTGAAATGAATAATACCTGTTTAGTGAAGAGCAAGAGGTCTGTTCACCTTCATTTATTTCCTTTTTTTTTTTTTCCTATTTGTTTATTTAATTCTGTATTCTAATCTTATTTATTTTGTTATCAGAGATTGACCTCCCTCTTGTATTTCTCTTGTCTTTCATGCTTCAGTTAGGGAGGGATGGGAAAGGGGGGAATGTTTCGTGATGACGACCGTTGGAAAGGAAAAATAAAAAGACAAGCAGAAGAAGAAGATTCCCTGCCGCGTTGCCGCCGTACCCGGAACAGGACGGAGGGCAATGAGAGGATGATGATGGCGGCGGGCGGAGGTGGTATTAGCGGTAAATACGGGTGCTGGGACGCTACTAACCAACTTAAAATAGGCGATCGAACGGTCTGGGACTGGAGACGATCCCTCGCCGGCCAGTCAGTGCGTTCCGGCCCGGTGGGTCCTTGGTAAAGCGATATCTCGGTCCTGCCTGTAGAAAGTGTCGTATGTCGAACTGTCTGGGAGTAAATTGGTTCCATCATGGAGGGTGGTGGTTGTCTGATTGACAGAGTTGAAAAATTGAAACCCTGCCCGGCTTTTTCGCCTCCCCGATCGCATTCTTGTCCGTCCGGTACCTTGGACCCGGATGGCATCATTGGCTGCTTATCTTCCTATCATATTCTCTCCTTGGGCCTCATGGAGGAGAGAAAAAAAAGAGGACAATCAATATCAATGAATGCTACCATCGTAGTAGAACAACCATGGATTGTTTTGTATAGTGTCCACATAGATAAGACACAGACCCATGCTATAGATGGAATAGAATGATGGAAAAGCACCTAATCAGTCCACAGTACATGTGGCTCAAGGTGGAGGCCAGGTGATCTTCAAGGCTGCATGTCCGGAGTATTCCAGTCCACTTTGTCTCTGTCGGTATGTGTGTAACGATGTATGTGCTACTTTAGTATGATGTACGTGCTCACTAGGAATGCCCAGGATCAAGGCATACGTGCATCCTTTCGGTCTTTTCCCTTGATGTCGCCATACAAATCCATCACCTCCTTTATGATACCATTTATTTTAATTTTATTTTTTCATTACTTTTTTTCCCTTTCCACTCTGCCATTCCCTCATACTATCTACAAACTTGAGACAGACCCCATCTCTACTACGTAAGTAGCCGCTGGTGATCCTTTCCGGAGAATCTGTTTTCTTATCAGGAGATGATTAGTTGACTTGATCTGTTCCATGGAAGTAGTTATCTCACCGATAAGCCAAGTTTGGTCCTGAAGCCGTCCCCGACCGAACATGTTCAGCAGTAAAAGTAGACCACTAGTCAGTAGTAGTGAGTCTAGGTACGTCCGACCGTGCGGTTTTACGTATGGCAACCATGGTCCCCACCCCCAGCTTTCTTTTCTCCCTCTCACCCACTCTTCTTCCTCTTTTCTTCATCCAACATCTCTGGGGGGTTTTTTTTTTCCTTCCCTCCATTTCTTCTACCTTACGGGATGTTTCCAGTCTTTCAGGCCCTTCCGTAGCGCCAGTCTAAATTTGCCACCGCCCAACCAACGGGGCCGGAAGTGGTTTTTCACTAAGGAGGCCTGGACGGTCTAGAGGCGGAAATGTTGGGGAGGCTAGTGAGTATCCAGCTAGTACTGAAGTCAAGTTCTGTCAGCTAGTCATATCTGTGGGTGGTTGCGATCGGTCTGGTCTATTTACTAAACCAACCCAACTCCACTGAATATGTCTGACATAAAGTAATCTGAGGATATATTAACCTACGTTGGTTGACTAGTGGGTTTGATTTAGTACGATTATAATAATAACCTCGCCTGAGATTCCAGTGGGTTTATTGACTGATGCGCAACCTACATAGGACGCACATTAGTAGAGCGTAACGCCAGGGGGGAAGAGGGTGGGTTGCGGATGCAGACCTGTCCCTTTGCTTTGTCAGTGCGCGCACGTTCAGACACACACACTCACTCACATCTCTTCTCTCTTGTCTTGTCTTGTCTTGTCCTGCAACATCCCATGTTTTGCTTGCTTTTCTTGAGACACACTTGTGGTCTTCGCACGAGGGTTGGTCGATCACCATCTTCTCCGCCTTTCAGACTTTGGAGGTTGGACATTCTAGACATTCTAGACTGTCTCCTGTTTCTTTGCTTTTTTTTTCTTCTTCCTTTCACCGGAGCGGGTCCTCCCAAAAAAATGCATCTTTGTAAGATGTATGCATTGCCATGCTCAGATATATGATGAAAAGTGACCAATTTCCAGCCACATTGGTCGACTTCCAAGCTAACAATTGCTACAAGTCATCTTTTATGATATGCTGATGGAAGATTGGCGCCGTCTTTGTTACTTTTCTGGAGGGACGCGGGGGCTAGGGCCGAAGCGGCTAGTATTTGCGGTACCCACACCGGAGGCAGATTACTACTAGTACCAGACTAGACTATACTAATATACGGAGACGGGGTTGGGAAGTGGATATGAATGGATAGCTGCCCGGTCGCTTAGCGCTACTCCAACGACCCATTTCCAAGGCACCTTGCCAGTATGACATCAGAAAGATACTTTTCCCTGAGTGAGAGTGAGAGTGTGTGAGAGAGAGAGCACTTGATACTTTTTTTTCTCTCCCTCCCCTTCCTTTTCGCTTCCTTACCCATTCCCATCGAATCGTGTTGTCAGGTCAGTCGTCATGCTGGAGGTCTGCACGGACCACGGGAGAATTTAAAAGACTTATGCTGCAGCGCTGCCTTGATCTGGCCAACCGAGTGTCCGCGCTATCCTGCACACGGAATTGATGGACCTCTCCGGAGAAGTAAAATTCGAAAGGAAGTTGGCTGTGCGCAGCAACTCTTGGCTTCTAGCATCGGGAGTTTTAGTGACCTGGTCGACGTCGCATTTCTTGGCTGCCGCTGCGCATGGACGTTTAACATTATTATCCTCCACCACCCATTTCCCAACTGACTTAGGAAAATTCTGTATGGATTTGGGGTTTGTATGTAGGGGAGGAGAAACAGCAGCAGGTATCCTTATCATCCCCAGCCCTGGCGCAACGGGCTTGCATAGACATCGGGAGTTGATAATGCACTCCCCCTTTGATATTGAGCAATTTCGGTTTCTAATCGAATCTTCAGATGAGTGTTGCATCGCTTGTGTAACGGCCTATGTCGGAGAGAACCACCCCGGTCCGATGCTTGGACACACTCTTTCTCTCCCCCCCCCCTCCCCCCTTTCATCTCTTCATCGAGGGGGGAGAATAATTCGGTGGCTAAATTCAGGGTGCATTCGTTGACAGAGGGCTATTCGGACGATGACTGGCTCTGAAGCTGCTGTTCTCGCCCCCATCGCGGAGACTTATGCCTGCGGTAGCCTCTGGTCTAGATACTACTAGGTCTCATCTAGTAGAAATCCGCGACGCTTCGATGCCACGGGCCTATGGGCTCCTCCTTCTCCTCCTCCCTGCTCGCACGACCAGCATCGAGCGAGCGCTTGTCTCACTTTCCATCTGGGTCTTATCATGGCTCGACTCACCGCACGGCAGGGGCGGCCCCCCCTGGCCGACTTTAGTAGTTCTCAACTCAATTCCTGTGATGGTATCGATTGGCTGCGTGTCTGATTTGCCACCGGGCATGCAAGCCACAGCGGATAGTCATTAATTGGTGGTCCATATGCTGGGTGCCATGATGGAAATCATATCGGCAGGATCTGGACGGTCAGTGAGAGGACATTGGTTGGGGTGGTGGTGGTGGTGGGGTTGACAGTGATAGAAAGAAAGATATCTTGAAGCCACCGATGGCTAGACGGGAGCGATGATCGGGCCTCGTTCGATGGAAGTCATGTAATGTCGTTCCGAACGCGTGAGGTCCGGATGGCGCTGTTCTCATTCGACGAGCGCCGGCATCTCTTGTGCAGCTGCAGAACCGCGCTAGTGTGGCTCCTCGCCCCCCCGTCGTCTCAGCCTTTCGCGTTCCTCCTTCTCCCTCAACTCTTCCCATCTTAGCTCTGCCCCATCAAAGCCTATTACTACTAACACTTGTTTGCTTCTTAATCGATTTTATACTAGTGTCTATCTTTTTCCATACAGCCTACCGCGCAATTAAGGAAAAAAGCTAGACAAACAAAGGGGAAATGCTGGTTTTACGGCTGGTCAGATCACCCTGCAGAGGAAAGGCCAACAACAATGCCTTTCTTTCTAATTCAAAATCCGCTACAACCTCTCGAGGCAATTGACGTGCGTGCTCCTCATCTCCGACATAACGCCATCAACGCCCCTTGAAACTAGCTGAGTTTGAGCACTGACAGGACTAGCTGCCCTCGGACGACTAGCTTCTGCCTACGACTGACGCTACAACGGCCGGTCGAGCGCCCGAGCGGGTAATCGGCGCCGATTAGCACAGCCGTCCTCCTTGATCGACAACCCACGCTCCCCCGAGTTCAAGCCCCAGCGCTTGAGGTCCTCTTTTTCTTTGGTATCTCCTCTTTTCGCTACTTCTGACAAAGATACACGTTCCGGAGACGTTAAACTTTGTATGAATTTGGACCGTGCATATCACCTAAAAGCGGTCTGGGAAGTTTACCATACTCTCTGCTCGTATCTACTGCGAAAGCCGGGCGGGGAAGCTCGCTGCTAGCGGCAGGGTGCAACATAACGGATGTCAGATTGGCTCGTGGGCCAGCTCAGAGACTCTTATCGCTCCGGCCCACCGCGGAGTCTCTGCACGCAAACGGGTTGCTTCTTCCTGTCCGATAACCGCTGCGGTCTCGACCCATGGGCTGCGTCGCAAGCTTCTCAACTCCGCACTCTCTCTCTCCCAAGAGCAGTGGGGAAGTTGTGCCGCCTACGATGGCTGATGCAGCAGAACCTCAGCTGGAGACCCCACGGGGAAATCGATCGCCGCGCGAGCCTGCTTGAGTGCTTGCGTGCTTGCTGCGTATCTTCGTTGATGCCTCTTGTGATCAGTACGATACTTCCTCTACCGATCATTCATCGCGACCCTTCTTGGGACTCGCATGATGACGGCTATGCTGTGCATCCCGATGCAGGAACTCTCCTGTATAGTATGGATAGGCCGCTGCGGCTATTGATTTATCGGTATCTTACTATAATCTACCTACTGACATTTCCGGTCCACAATAACATGCTTGGCACGGGCGTCACCCTGTCAATACCCGATGGTCGCAACTTCATCCGTAGCCGTGATCCTGAGAAGACAATAGCATAGCCTCTGAGAGCGATCACGTTCCGTTTCACCATGATCTCCTGACCACCTGATTGTTGATCGCCAGGGTACGGCAGAGGAATTGGTGCAGTTCTGCTGTGGATTCTAACCGCCCCTAGGCCCTTGGCTCAAGGGACTTGTGGGGTTCTCTGAGCGGGCATCTCTCGTGGCTCATACAGATCCAACAGGTTGACGCAATTCATATCGGCCCGCGCGGCTGTCTGTTCATGTTGGGGTGTCAAACACAGTCTTTAGCAATGTGAACAGACGGCCGAGTACCATTATTTCAGCATCTATATGGTGCACATGAAAGCTGTCAAACACGGATCGGTCGGAGAACTATACCTGCGTTGGAAATCTGGCCGTCATGTTAGGTGTCGATGCCACATAGGGCAAGCTCACTCGCATTAGCAACGTTCTACACAAGCGTGAGCGAGTAATAGCACAGCATACGATCCACCAGACGGTTTCCGATCGCCCCGACTGCGCCCTACCAATATCTTTCTTGTGTACACATGACAACCATACCCATGACCGGCCTAAGCTAAGAGCCACCTCCCTCCCCGCTCTTCAGATTGACCTTCATTGAGTGATATCGGATGGTCCGATGCCAATTTCGGGGGCGCCCCATTAGCCCGGGTGTAGGTCCTCCGCCGCACAAGCCGAGTAGTAATGCCACTGGGCCGGGGTCCGTCGAGCACAGACACTACCCTGGCCAGTGGGAGCCAGCGACGGGGATGTCAAACATGCCATTGACTCGGACTAGGCACTGTCCGAGCGCGCAACCCCTCAGTGGACAACAGCCCACGACGTTCCCCTCTTCCAGAGGCAGTGCTATTGGGTATCTGTTTTGGGGGCCCAGGGTGGACTAATATACCGATGAAAACAATGTTACCGGTGAGGTAACAGGAGCATCCGGTTCTAGATCCCAACACGGCCCCAATTCACTATGGTAAGTTCAACTTATTTCCTCTTTCACTATGACCAGAGTCTACCTACAGCACGTCGCTCAACCCTTGCCGCGAATTCAGCTCCATCTTGATGGACATTGCGGGGTACAAAGCACACAGACCGGACAACCCTGGTCCGCCAACTCATAACCATGTGCGACCATCGCGGTATCGAACCTTCTCCGCGGCCGTCCCAGTCCCCATGCGACCACACATGTTAGGTTCTCACCACTTTTGCCTACCCCCTCTCACACCCCGATCACGAGCCATGGCACACACCACCATCTTCAACAAGTTCCAGCGAACCAGCAACAATCCTGATACAACAAACCCATGAACCAAGCATTACACCAAGCAAGTCGAATGCCCTCCTTACCTATCGTCCAGAAGCCTGTAGAAGCATTTGGCCGATTGCACAACTCCTATGGCCAACACGCAAGGTAATGTACGCGACATGCATCCAAAGCCACAAAAGCAAAACCAAAAAGCGAATATTTTACTCATGCATGCTCGACATAATAGCACATCAACAGTATAGCCCAGCTAATGTCCTTCAAAGCCACAAAATGCACCCCGACGTAGTCCAAGAAAGTTAACTAGGGGGCTTGCTCCCATTAGCCACCACCACCACCACTTCTATCATGATTTACATAGTAGCCATACCCATTCTACCCTCCTAGCATAGCCATCGCCACAGACAACACCTCCTCCACTCTCTCTCTCTCTCCTTCTGTCTCTATTCTGTAAATCATCATCATCATCATGCAAGAGCAATCCGATCGGTCGCTCACCTTTCCCCCCACCTCGCCACATATACAACCAGTCAATATCTACCTGAATAATATCACAAACAAACTATACCCCCTTACTTACTGTACGTCAGTCTGTATGTAGGTAGTATGTAGTCTGCCTGCCACTAGTGGCAATGTCACCTCACACCTACCAACAACGACTACTACTACATTAGTATGTAGACACATTAAACAGCCAGGAGATATAATCCGGATCCATTCAACCGCTACTACTGATCTCATATTGACTTCAAGCGGCAAACTGATTGATCGGTCGGTCGGTCGGGCGGACGATGTTGCGATGGTGATATCTGTAGGGGGGTAGGGGGGTAGCTAGGTGGTGGCTTATGCACTGACTGACAGATTCAGTCTATTATTCTGTCTTGACGAAAGTCAAATGCCTAGGATCAAGAAGAAAAGTACCGCTATTAGTAGCTCATAAGAGTTGACCTGGTTTGGATATATCATTGCGTGATTGATGGATGGATGCATGCATGCATGGTATCTTTGATACTAGTTACAGAATAAGTTATACTAGTTCTATCTTACGGAAGTTCCAAGTTGGTGTGTCATGTAATACAGATGCCTGGAATAAATAGGCAACAGCATGAAACAAGAAAATGGAAAGGAGATAATAGATATGTTACGTTTACTGATTCAGATGTGTGTTGTATTTAAGATGTAGGTGTCACGAATGTAGTCAGTGTTGTAGTCAGATTTGGAACTTCATTGAAACATGGAATCGAATTGAAAGAAAAAGCTGAGAAGAAAGTACCGTTACCCATTAAGCCTGCTTTATGGAGGGCAAATAATTAAGTACAGACGGAAAATTCGAAGTGAAAAAGAAGATGAAGTCAACGCCAGATTGAACTCAGTAGATATATATAAAAATGTAATGTTCAGACAGCCGCCCCAAGTCCAGCTTTAAGACTGAAAGATGATCCAAAAAACAACACAATAAAAATAAAGAAAAGCAGTACATGCACAAGGTATCATGTTTCATAATCAATCAAGCAATCTGTTTTTGTCTTTCCTGGACCCTTTGACTCCCGTATTGCAAGAGTGACAGACATCATTACATAGGTTGGTTGGTTGGTTGGTTGGTTGTGCAACAATAGCGACAGCATTATCATAAAGTCATATCATATCGGTCGTCACAAAGAATAATAAGTCATGAGCGGTACTGCTACACACTTGCCGTTCGTCGCTTTTCGCTCGGTTTCTGTGCATATGCGATCCACAGCCGGAAACCAGTGCCGCGCTGTTGGCATTCGCGGAGGATCTTCCTGTCAGACCAGATGCTAAGGGCAACGTCGCCGTTTGGGAGCACAGGAATTTCATAGCATCTGGTGTACCACCATCGACCGACTTTAGCAACGATCTTCCGAATGGATTCGTCGTTAGAAGGCGAGGGGGAAGGGTCCGAGAGGAGATCGCCTAGGGATAGGTCCGTGTCGTTGGAGGAGGACTTTCCATGCGCCCTTGCTTTCGCTTTGGCCGCTGTTGACAGGCCTGTAAGGGGGGATACGGTGGTATTTGGGGAGGTTGTTGCAAGTATGGTGGATGGATTTGATGGTGAGGTGGAGGTGGAGGACGCTGATGATCGGACGATCATTCCAGCAACAGGGATCCGTACCATACATCGCCGGAGGTTGTCAAATTTATGACGCCCTAACAGCCGTTGAATGCTGTCGCTTGCAGGTTTGAGGCTAATATTTGCGTCGGATATGTACGTCCGTTCCTTCAGGGTCCTTACGGCTTTTCGCGTGCGGATTCCCATGTTCACCATGTCCAGGTCGAGGATACTCATTTCCAAATAACCACCTGCGCGAAGGACGCGCTTGCATTCAGAGATGATATTATCCTGCGCCTTTTCGGAACAGGCAGCTGGGAATCGTAAAACAGCCACCGCGAAGAAGCCCCTTGGGAAAGGCAGCTGATCATCGAGACTCGTGTGTTGAATGGTGTGGTGGTTTGATGGAGGCTGCCATGCTTGTGGGTGCTTGGATGCAATTGGTTTTGGCCCGTCAGTAAGACTGTACACCTCCGCGTTTGGATATGTCAAAGCACAGTAGAATGACCAATCATCGTTTCCCAGTCCATCGACCACCAGGATACGTTCTTGGTCAGACCCTTTGGCATGGTTGTGTGCTGGACTAAAGAGGACTCGCCCAAAGGAGAGCCATCGGCTTGTCATCAGAGATCCAGATCGGATGTTGGTATGAGCAGTGGGCCCTTCACGATCGCGTTCTGCGATATCGAAGAGAACGGTGTTGCGCTGTCGACAGATCTCGAAGCTCGGTGATGTAGCTAGGGCTGGCGAACTTAGCAAGCCTGACTGTTGCTCGACTATTTGATTTGGTGTCAATAGCTTGTCCTCTACCTCCTTCTCCACTATGCTACTCTCGCTTCGATCGTCACAGTAACTAGCAATGATCTCACTGTACGAAGGCTGAGATGATGGGACCAAAGACGAGTGTAGCTCTGCAATGATTCTAGACCTTCGAAGTCTGACAGAGCCAGTGCTAGATCTAGGTGATGAGGCCGTAAGCTCGACTGCAGGTTTCTCAGATGGTGCAGACAATCCTGGTCCCCCGTTTATCTCTGCCTGAAGAGTTTTGCTCGCCATTGTCGCTAGCTCAAGCTTGTGATCTATCTCGGATTCAGATTCGAAGAGCGTGCTTGCCGTTTGCGGAGAAAGAACGTGGTCGATTAAGTCATCATATTCACCCCATATTTCATCCTCAGTCAACTCAGAATCAGGACCTGGCATAACGGCCGTTACAGCAGCGAGACTGTCAGAGCCACTAGAACTAGACAGAACGGAATCCTTTCTGGGGGAAAATCGCATGAACTCTTCTTTGGAATAGGGCCCGGCAATGAAGTCTAGGACACTACCTTTCAAGGGATCCTTGAAAGGATTAGTGAGATCAAACCTGTAGTCGGATTTGCCGGGAAGTGTAGGATAAAAAGGGCTCTGTGTGAAGATGGGTGAAAACGAGATACCACCCGAGGTCTCAACAACCGGGGCAGTCAAGGACGGCGGTGATTGAGCCACACTGAATGGCCTTGAGAAGGACTGCACAGCCGGCTTGTGCGGCCTCTCGCGCCTTGAGACTACACGCGGGATGCGCCCAACGGACGTCAGGCGACTTTGACGCTCTCCTTCTGGCTTTACCTCCGGGCTCTGTGGTACCAGGCTCTTGTTGAAATACACTTTCGGTGACTGAGGCTGATCTCGAAATATAGCATCGTGTAATTTTGGTGGTGATGGTAGGAGAATGGATTCCGGCGTTTTCTTGATGTTCAAAGCAGCCGGTACTTCCACTGGGGAGCTGAGTTCGTCATCCTCAGTGGGTGGTGAGTTCTCGACGTTGTGTACGATTTCCTCCAAGGGATCGGAGTCCATGTCAATTAGAGCGTAGTGTGCAATAGGTCGGTGCACAGGCGCTGGAGCCACAGTCGCATGAAGATGAGGTGCAGTACGGGACTTAATCTTTCCTTCTGGCTTTTCGGGTTCTTGTTTTCTCTGGAAGAAATTCCACTTCAAGCCCAGGCCTCGCTTTGTCTGTTTTTGTGGACTTTGCGTCTCTACTGGTACTCTGGGCCGCATAGGACGAACTTCAAGGTTCGATTGATGTAAGTCCTGGATTGAAGAAGCTGCAGGCGCTTTTGTGACCTTGAGGCCTGTCTCCGGGCGAGAATAAGCCACCCTTTGCTGTTCAAATGAGATCTGGTGCTTCATGCCCTTAGTTGTCGGCTCCACTGAGTCTGCAGATGCTCGAGAACTAGCCAGTGTCTCTGTAGAGCAACCGGGAGACTCGGAAATTATAGACGGCTGCGTCAAGTTTGAGGTAGATGCTGTACTGAAACCACTTGTGCTTTGCTCGCTTGGCCTCCTCTGGGAAGCAATCCCATCCAGATTCCCACCCCTAATAATCACTGGCTCGAGGCGATCGAGCAGAAAGTCGTCAAGGTCTAGCTCCGGCCGGCTTCTAGTGCTACCCTTGCTACTGGCAACCGATTTAGGGCCGCTTCTGGTCGTGCTTGTTGATCTTGCTCGGCTAGTGCTGCTGCTTACGCTTGATCGGCGCCCACGCTGAGCATATCGGCCGTAGCCTTCATGTCCGGTCCCAGCACTTGGACCCTTGCGAGCTGAACGACCTTCACTTCGTGCATCCAAGTCAGGTTTGGACCTCTTCGTGAAGAGGCCAAGTCCTCGTGACTTTCCTGGGGCCACGGAATCATGCTGTAGCTTTTCTTCCTTAGCTGGTTGGCGAGGCGACTTTCGCGATAGCTCCGGAGATGCTGGTACACGGGTCTGGGAGGGTGCCCTTGCGTGCAGTGAGTCGATTGAGGTGGCTGCAGACCTATTCAACCCTGGACGTCTCTCTAGAATGGGAGACCTTTCAGTTGAGTCTCGACGTTTGTGGCCCGTCACCGTTTTGGGCGATATATTGCTCTGCACTACAGGTGACGGTTCCAGTATTAACTGATGAGTACCATCCCTGGTCGGCCTTTTGGGTATCTGGAGAGGCTTCTCAAACGAATTTGCTCGTACTTTATCTGCGTGAGACATGACCCGCGATACCCTTTTCTCCTCTACCTTTTGTTCAGCCTCAGCGTTTGGTCTCACTTTGGTCGAGAGTCGTCGAGTGCTGCTTGTGGATGTCTTACGGGGAAGGTGGCTGTAAGATGTGCTGGTAGTGTTCGTTGTGCCGGTCTGTGCCGAAGACTGTTTCGTCTCAGCCTCAGTAACAGATGCCTTTGCTCTGGTGCTTTGGCCCAACAAGGGTGACTGTGTTGCACCCGGCTGCCCTCGGTCACTCGCAAAGCTCGTCTGTTGTGTCTCTTGGGAGAACACCGGAAGTCGACTTTGGGATGGACTAGGTTGCCTTAGGCGAGAACCCTTCGCGGAGTGAACGATTCCCGGTGAATATGAGGATAAGGTAGTTGGTGTCGAAGTCCTACTCCACACTCCTGGAGATTCTGAATACCTTGTGGAAGGACTACTGGCAGACGGGATTATCGGAGTTGGGGGTGGTAAATTTTGTGTGTTGATAGTGGTCCTGAGGCTTGCAAGTTCCTTCGGACCGGCTTGGACGTGAGCTTCCGGTACGATGGTCGAAAGATTATCCTCCGAAGCCATTGGTGACGCTAAAATTGAACGGTTCGTAGAGGGTCGTAAGGAGGCGCTCGGAGTGGGCCCAATGGTAGGAATATCTGGTATAATTACATTCAGCTTCTCAGGTCGTAGTCTCTCCAAACTTGGTCTATTCTGCGCGGTATGTTGACCGATTGTCGGCGCCTTCCTCCGCAAGACATTGCGCGGTCGACCGGGAGCAGGGGACCTCTTGTCGGTGTCAAGGTCATTCAGGGGTCCGGCAGCCATGTGGAAGGGTTGGCGAACGCCTCCATCCGGCATTGGATGCAAGGGTGTCGGCGGCAATGGATGCGTGGCTGTTCGCGGAGGTATCGATGGACGAGCATGCTGACCGGCCGGGATCGTCGAAGGGTCTGATCGTGCGACACTGCGACGAGATTCCTCAGCGCTGGACACCGATGACGCTCGGATGGCCCTAGTCGAGGCAAGCGTTGGTCTTGGTATCTGCGGCCTGGGCAATAGCTGGGCAGGGGCGTCGTGATGCCGAGCTGAGGCCATCGCGGGCGACGATACGCTCCGGGACTGGCTGGCGACATTCTTCAGTCGGGGTATTCGACCGCCGTCAGACTTGTACGACGACATGGTGTGACCTGAATCCAGCCTCCAGTTGTAGTCCGAAGACCAACGATCTAACGATAGGAGTAGGACGAGGTAGACAGGAAATCATTCCGTCTGCTGATATTTATAGCCGACGAGAACGCTACCAGCGATAAGGCTTGTGAGCTTTCCTTGAACCAATGCCAGCAGCTGGGGGATGACTTACCCTTCATAACATGTCAGGGAATTGTGCGAGTTGCGACAGTGACAGGTGCCGGTCAATTATAAAACTAGAAAGTAACCGCGCAGCGGGGTATGTAGAGGCGGGGCAGAAGAAAGCTATTCAGAATAGGGCCACGGTTTGATGGAGCGTTGGGGAAATAAGCGGTCGTATTTAGCGGGTGGCAGGTGTCATAGAAGAATAGTAACCAAGACCGACAAGAAGATACGAAACTGCAACTATGGAAAGCAGAAGATTTAAAAAGTATACAAAGGACCGACAAGTACACCGTGCAGGCGCTGCGCCACAGTATGGAGACGTTCAGAGTGGCTAAATGCAGGAGAAAAAATAAAAAAAAAGGTCGAGCTCCGTCTGCACGACCACGTCAGAGAGCGTCGGTCTATTAAAAAAGGTAGACTATGCAGAAGCCACATTAAATGGCGTAGAATAGAACAACCAAGACCAGCTACACAGGAAAAAACAACGAAAAGAACGATAGAGATGAATAGAAGAGAAGAAGAGGGAGAGAAAGAGAAGGGCATGCGAACTGGGAGCTGGAAGTCTTAATTAGTCCCGTACCAGGAATAGATCTGGACCATCTGCGAAACCCTGGACAAGCCAGGACTACCCTCGAACCCCGTTTGGCGACATCGAGCGTAGTGGGGGAACCAGTAGCCCGATTCGTAGGTAAACGATCCGTCTAGAGAGCGTCAACCATCACAGATAATCCTGGCGCGATTTGTGCGATCGACGCTGGGTCGGGATTCGAGCAGTGATGTGACCGGGATGGTAATTGGTGCAGGCACTTCTCCTATTCTCTGCTTTCCCTTCTTGATCTGGTGAATTATCTCCTGTGATCCCGTCCTCTGTTATCGACGGTCTCCAAATCCTGGAGTCTATCTAAATCAGCCGAAGTCACGAGCAGGCTGGCGAATAATCTCTCGAAAGCCGTCAAACTCGACCAGACTGGGGACAAGCCGTAATGACAGCAGAGGCAAGGCCAGTGGTCAGTGGAAGGAACCCATGCCCGCGGCCCACTCCTGGTTGTTACGGCTATTCTAACTGGTAAGTACCATGGTCTTCCAGGGTTGGGGATTGTTCAACGGCATCGCTTGACAGGTCGAGATGGAGTTGAGTGGCGTGAGATAGCGGGAAGACCGTCGTGCGCTGAACCGGCCATTTACCGTGGGCCAACGCGCGAATGGCAGATGCAGGCATCAGCCAAGCATGCTGGTGGTCACTGTAAGTCTTCTGTCAATTGTCAGTCAGGATTGCCGCAGTCAACTAGTGCTTTGTAAGGACTAAAAAGCGAGCTTCAAGCTCGAAGTGGTCTGTGTTTTTTTTTTTTTTTTTTTTTTTTTTTTTTTTTTTTTTTGTTGTTGGCCGCTGACCAGCTTCTGACCGGAGATGAATGTGGCGGCGACCCAAGCCGGTCAGGTGGTGGTCACTGACCGTCACTGATGGTCACTGACTATTCGGAGAGGCCGAGTTTAGCCATCTCGATTTTAATTATAGCAACACCACGCATGCAGGCAGGCCCTTCATTCTCTTTCTCCCACAATGAGATTTCGAAGTCCCTGGAGAAATCAACTACACTACAATGTCTACTTTGTTATCTCTAGAGAGCAACTATTTCACACTTTCTCTGCCCCGTGTGCACTGAGTGAGCGACAAGGTACTACACCACACTCAACCCTGGTACACCGGAAGGTTCGCCCCGATCCATTCAACTTCCCCCCATCCAGTCACATCGTTTATTGCCCCCATCACACAGAACGAAATGGACATTTGCCTCGATCCACTCTCACAACGGCCAGACATGATATACTTTGTTCCTTCGCGTACCTTTCACACAGCCAGTGACAGCCCCGAAGCTACAGGCCGCACACAGCAGCTGAGACCGAGAAGTAAACCCGGTGGATCCCCGCCGTCTTAGCAAACCACAGTCGGTCCCTAATTGCCTATCTGCAATCCTTTCAAAATCAACTAAGAAAAGTGCCTCATTGCCTCTCCCCGATCCGAGGGAAATGCGGAGTCGCTGAGCCGTGGGTCTTGATCCGCCGCTAGACATTCAACACGGGGCGACAATCACGCCTGATTGACGGATCCAAGGTGAACGGAGCCTGGCTCAGCAATTAGCACCACGGGCGCACTGAACCAACTACAAAGGGCTTTTGCCCGACAGAGTGAAGCAAAGGCCCCCCCGCCCCTGCTGCCTTTTTGTGAATGTGATTCAGTGGGACGGCGGTTAACTGACTTCTGGCCTATTTACTATATCTGAACTTGATCCCCTCTCTCGTCTCCCCTAAGCGATGTGACATATACCAATCACGGAGCATCTAGAATCTGTTCACAGTTGGTGGTTTACGCGTCTGTCTAGGACGGATAAAACATGCGACTCGGGGCGAAAACAGAAGGAAGGTGCGTGATGATAGACTAAGTTCTGCAGATCCGATCCGATCCCAAGGCCAGCCAGGAAAGAAGCCACGGTCGGTCGGTCGGTCGGTTGGCGCTGCAGGAACTGGGGCGCCATCATGCTCATGCGCCAGGGATTTTCAGCTGAACGTGTGAATGCTACGAGTTCCACTACAGAATTAGGCTTGCAGCTCGACTATTTATTTGGGATTCGATAGCTTATATGCTGTACACCAGCCGCTTTTTATATTATTCGCCTCGTTCCTTCGTCAGTGGTGAATGATGTTTGATGGGGAAAACAATGACTGAAGAAGGGTAAGAAAAAGAAAGCAACACAAGGGCGATTGGATGGATGCATGTCACCCTGCACGGATCTTTGACCACATCCAGGGGAAATCTCCGGGCAATATCCAACAATGCCTACCGGGATCTCCTTAATGGCTTTGACTTCTTGTCACACCGTCAGATCCAATAACCGAATCATATTTGCCAGTTACACAATGGCCGACCCGATGGACCAGGTCCGGCACTTCTTAGTGGCACCCAGGCCAAGTCATCACAATATCCCTCACACCGTCAACCGCGACTCCAGTTCGCAACATGTACACAACAGCATATTTTCAGACCAAAGATTGAATTTCCCCTAAAACGCCAGTAACCTGTAAAGAAAGAAAGAAAAAAGAAGAGATAGCAGAATATGAACCGGAATATCACATTGCGACCCTCCTCTGGGTCTACGCAGCAGCTCCGAACCTCTTCTTCCGGGCTTCCAGGGCCGCGACGTCCTTTTGACTCCAGTTGGTCTTGGCCCCAGCAGCAGCAGTAGCACCACCGCCATTCTGTTGCTTCTGAGGGCGACCTTGACCCTGGTTACGGTTCCCACCGTGTCCTCCTCTACCGCGGAACCTGTTCCTCCCTCCGAGATCCCTCTTCTTTCCACCGCGACCACCACCGCCGCCGCTCTGCTCATCACCGCGACCTCTCTTGCGCGACTTCTCCTCCTTCTCCGGCAACGCCTCATCCAGCTTCTTCACGCCGACTTCCCCAGGAGCCGGAGCCGCAGTACCGAACCGCTTCGCCCGCTCCAGCTGCTTCTCCGCCGCCTCAATCGCAGCCTTGGACTCCTCCGTAACGCCGAACTTCTCCGCGCGAGCCTTCCTCTTCTTCAGTTCCTCCTCCATCTCCGTAATGGGCAATCCAGCGGAGTAAGTAACTGCCGGCTTCTTCTCCTCCGCCGCCTCCTTCTCCGTAGCACCAGCACCAGCACCCTCCTCTTCCTTCTTCTCCTCCTGCTGCTGCGCAACATCACCAGGTTGTTCGACCTTCAAATCCTTCGCCGTCGCGGGATCCGCCTCCTCATCCAACTTCTGATTCGGCACCTTGACGGGGTTCTCTACCTCGCCTTGTCCACCGGCCGCGATCGCCGCAGCGCCGGTCGCAGTCGACGCCTTAGCAGCCGCCTCACCAGCAGGGACCTCATCGTCTTCCCAGTCAATCACATCATCGGTGTTGTTGTCACCCTTCGTAGCAGCAGCGGCGGCGGCAGGCTTCTCCTCCGACTTGTCAGCAGCGCTATTATCGTTCTCCTGGAGCCGAGCGACCATCTCAGCTTTCTTGCCCGTGTGGGGGAGATTGCGCGACTTGAGGATCTCGATTAATTCGGCGTTGGTCTTTTTGCTGTAGTCGGTTGCCATTTTGGATATGGATTGCAATATGCGATGTGAGGTAGGTAGATAGGTAGGTACAGTGTGTATCGTAGTAGACGACGGGAGTTATTGGTAAGTTAAGGTATGTAAGCAAGCAAGTTGCGACAGATGGATGAATTGAGATGGGAGACAGGAAGGAAGGGGATTGAAGATTGAAATAGATCAAAGAGAAGGAAGCGAATGAGACGAGACGATTACACTCTCACAACCACCATGCGCAATTTCAAACAAAATTCAATTTAATAGAATTGACGGAAGGAGAAACCCGTGAATGATGATTGATCGTGGTTGTACCGAAAGAGAAGAGATGAAAGAAAGAGAGGGGGGAGAGATGAGTGATGGGTGTGGATGGGATGGGATGGAGGTCCGTCCGGAACTGCTGGTTGTGGTGGTACTCTCTAAGCTACGCGTTTTTGGGGGGAAAACGCGGGTGTTCCAGGCTTCCCAGTTCTTGTTCTTCTCAGCTCTGGCTTGTCTGGCCTGTGAGTGAGTCTGCCTTACTGCCGGAGCTTACCGGTTTTGGGGGAGAGACATTATGGTCACGTGATGTGTGGATTATGACATAATCGCTTGTTGATTCTATTTTAGTTTCGATGTGAATGTGTATACTTTGTTCAGCTATTATTGTGATGAGATGAAAATATGGGATTTACCCAGCTTGAAAAGGAGACTCTTGATGGGTTACTAATTATGCATGTGTGCTTACTTCTAATTTAAGAGTTTGTCATGGTGGATGGGTGACAGCTGAAAGAAAGAAAGAATGAATGAATGAATGAAAGATGGAATAGTTAGATGATAGATCCCGCTTAATTGCCCGTTAGTGTTCATTATTTGTTCGAGTGGTGGCGGTGGTTTATCGGTCATAGTTATTGTGGCTGAGAAGTTACTAATAAGTTTATATGATGTGTTTAAACTTTATGTGGAATGATTGGGCGCAGCTGCCAGCTGAAGCAAAGCATAGATAAGTAGAGTTTGTGTTGACGTGGTGCCTGGATAGCCTTTCGGTGGCGGAGGGATCCGGACGTGGCTGGGTTTAAGCGCTTTAGTTGGGGGTGGGTTATACGATCTGTTGAGTATAGCGTGTGCGGGTATAGATGTTACGTTCGGATGGCTTTGTTGAGATGGGGAGTATGGGTTATGCTTCTGTAGGAGACGGGAAGTTGCAATGATATCTTTCTTCCCTTTGTTTATTTCCCCTACAATAATGAGTTTGAATTGCTTCTGCGTCGGTGAGCAGGATAATCATGAATTTAGGTTGCTCAATAAGCTAGGCAAATAAAGACCATCGCAAAGTACCATATGCACCAGATAATAACTGCATATCCTCTGTCCCATCGAAGCACAAGGACACAGCTTCAACAACCCAGCATCATTCCACTCAAAAGAAATATCGTCATCCATAGAACCAATACTCTGCCGCATAGTCCACCTCAAACTCACCCTCGTGTCCCGCGCACGTAGCTGGACTAACACCGCCAGCCGTATAAACACGATAAACTTCCTACACACCATAGTTAGTACCATGTAACTTAGGGGCACACAAGCACTAATACAGATGCAATGCATACCTTGATTCCCACCCCATCAATCCCATCTAACTTGAGCCACGGCACATCGACACTCTTGGGAGCATTAGCACTAGCAACCTTCTTCATCATAGCCCAATCGTCATCCCCACTGAACCTGAGATCAAAGGACGGCTGTCCAGACCCAGAAAAGTAATGTTCACCAAGGATGCCCGCTCCCGTTCCAGCCAGGCTGATCATCGTGGCAAGAAAGTCCAGCGTCTCGAGGGGAATGCCTTGCACGAGGGCAGGGAGATGGTGCAGAAGCTCCTCATCGGCCGAGGCGATGCAGGAGACATCGAAGAGGGTGGCCAGGGCGCCAACGGAGGTGGGCTTGCTGGTGGAATTCTGAGGTGAAGGGCAGGTGTAGTTTTGGATTCCTCGGCCGAGGGCGACGTGCTGGAGGGTGAGGTTGCTGGCTGGGGTGGGGAGGGATGTGAGGTTGTGGTTCATGTTGAGAGTGGTGGTGTTGAGCGAGCATGAAGTGAGGTGGAGATTCTTCAGGTTGGAGATGGTGGAGCTGAAGATGGAGGTGGTGGTTAGGATGTCGTTAGCGTTGGTGTTGGTATCAATGTCGGTGTCGGTGTTATTGGAATCATCGGGGGTTGAGTGTGGGATTGCGGTGACGAGGAGGGGGAGGAGAAAGACGAGGAGGTAGTTGAGAAACATCATGATGTAGATGTTTGTTTCTTGGATGAGAAATGGGTAGCTTGCCAGCGGCTTTGGGTTATAGTTTCTGTTCTCAACTGAAGCAGAATATGAAGTGGGTTGGTGGTGAGGAGAAAGTTGTTCTGATGGAAGGAAGCATCGACAGATATAAGTAGTAGGAGAATGATCCACTCAGTTATTGCAGATACTGATGCTCACTGATTCATGACCTATTCACTCAGATCCAATTCTGAGAAGCAATATGACCAGTCTGCCTTGAACTCCCTCAGGATTCCCTCTCAGCCATGCTGCATCAAAACAGTCCAGTTGATACACACAGGCATTGAGATGTTGGATAGTCAAATACACTGCCTCCACACGAGTATAACCGGTGAGAACTGAAGTGAGCGAGAAAGAAAGCCTTCCTTCAAAGCAACAGAAAGAATAACTCAGCATGCCCGATATCATCTAGGCAGGACAATCCATAGGCAACAATTCTCCAACATGCAACCAAGTCAGTCAGTCGGGCATAGCATGGACCACCCAGGCCAACAAGTTATACCCTATAGGCAGCACAGGCGCTACACCCAAAAGCAGCCTTGCCGATATAGCCACACGCCTGTGTAATCTACCTTGGAATCTGTCTGACAGGCATTCGCGGACGGCAGTGGGTGTGAGACGCGCATAAAACCAACAAGGTTTGATATAAGCGCCGTTGCCCTCGTGGCCATGCATCGGCCGTTGAGAACATTTCCGAACCAGAAATCTCTTAATTAAGGTACACCTGCGGTAGAGTAGCCGAGTTAGCGCCTGCTATTATTACTCGACATATATTGGAGATGGTTGTGGGACAACCTGCATACACAATGTCATGCGCAGGTTAGGACACACGATGTCCTCCATAGCCATTGGTGCGATGTGAAATTACTATCGCTTCACGTAGAAGATTCAACATGCTAGTTGCAGTGAGCCGTGTTGCTGTATACCGCAAGTTCTTGGTGCTTCTGCTGTGTTTTTCTTGCGGATGGGTTGTCTTGTGCTGATGGATGACCACGATGGGAGGGAGGTGGCCCCGACATTGAAGCCTTTTCAATATGCAAGACCGGTCCGGGATAAACATAAAATAGAATAAACAGCAGCTCCTGCAGGCTATGAGCATGTCTCGCAATCATCTTTGAAAGAAATAACCTCTTTCCCAAGAACGCGCCCGGTGCTGCAAGCCCACAACCTGTTACACTACCAACACCATTAACGATTCCGCCGTGAATCCCGCCACTTCCCCATATATAGCAGCCCTATATATATAGATATAGATATATATATACAGAGCTGCTAGCCCAACCTCCGTCTCAAACTCATTGGTCTAATGACAATCCACATCACCTCAAAACAAACCCTACTGCTCCGGAGTCAGTCTTTGCGCACATCTGGAAATAATAGACACATTAATAGCACACAAGTCTTGAGAAGCCACAACCCAATCGAACAAAGATTTAAGACATTATAAACATAGAGACAACAGACGTTGATGTTCGTCCATCGGGATTCCCGAGCATTGACAGACACTCGGACAATGCGGAGAAAGTCGGGGGGTGACCCTTGCTTTGGCCCCCCCAGGGCACAGATGCTTTAGCTTCCAACCCAGCATGCTCAGCTCCCAGTGAAGAAGGTACGCCGATGGCTGCAAGCACAAGCAGGCAAGCAAGGGTCTTAGCTTACCTGCTGCACGGAGTTGGATTCATACTTCTTGGGCAAATGTAGATGGATCCATCCCCAGTGAAGGCTGTACAGGTCAAACGGGGCCGCGGGCGGACCAGGGGTCACTGTCACTGTTCACTGAGCATGGCAAGACTGGTTCGAAGAAACGTACAGAGATAACGATAGCGTCAGTCAGTCTACAAGGAACCCCGGGGGTGTATTTCAAGCATCTTTAATTAGACAATAAGGTATATAGTAGCGACCGTGGTGACACCGTGGGTGTCTAGTATGCTCCAAACAAGTTTAAACCGTGGCAAACAAAGCAGCCTGCATTTCCCAGCCCATGCTCCGCCCAATTGCAACGGGTATCAGCCCTGCACTCGCGTTGGCGAGTGCGCCTCCTTATAGCAATTTATCCCAGCAGAAAAACAAACCCAACTCAGATCAACAGCCCATGCTAATTCCCGATAACAAATCATCGCGCGAGACTCTGCGGCACAGCAAGGAAAAGGTAAAGTAACCGAATGGAAACAAACATAAGAAAAAATGGGGGGGAGAAGAAGAGAAATATTCTAGATCGTAGAAAAAAAAAGGACATGAGAAAGTAAAGGGCCTGCTGCGAATATATTCCGATTTGCAATCATATCACGGAAACGCAGGAAAAGAAGTGAATCATCAAGAACCAAACCCCAGCTGGTATCTGAGCAGAAAAAGCCATGCCGAACAGAAAAGGAAATTAAACAACATCGGACCAACTCCCTAGTCTAGCGAGAGATAAGGAGATAAGAAGGAAATGGGTAATCAAAACCAAAGAAAAAGGGAAAAAAACAAATCACCAACCAGCAAAACAACCGGTACCTCTATGGTCATAACTTGGGTAATAAAGACATCACTAGCAACCCTCCGAGCCGTTGTACCGTGTCTTGCCTGTCCAGGGGAATCTGAGAAAAACAAAGGAAACAAAAGAAATGGGGTATCGTTTCTCTGCCACACTGGCCGAGACGGAAAGAGAAGAAAAGTAGAAGAGGAATCGAAGCTGTTGTACAAGAATACGGAACCCGATTCAGGAGTGAGACGTCGCACAATGTGTTGCGATGCGTCTCAGGATCGTAGTCCGCTGTTCCTCCGCCCCGTTAAGGTGGCGTTAAGGGGGAGGCGTTCGAGACTTGAGAGGAAGAGGGACTTGATTTACTCTTCGTCTTCGCCTGAAGCACCTTCCTTTTCTCCTTTGTGGACCTTCTTGTGCCGCCGCAGGTTGGAGACGACGGAGAAATGACGGCCACAGCCTTCCACGTCACATGCGAATGCTAGATTCCCGAATATCAGTACCACAGACCACTAGTAAAGGGCTCGTTCTGGAACTTACGTTTTTCACCAGTGTGACTGTACATATGAGTCTGAAGAGACGATGGGCGGGTAAACCGCTTGTCGCACACCTTGCACTTGTGCTTCTTTTGGGTATTGGACGGCATCTTGGAGCTGAATTGGCTCATCATCGACTGGGGTCCCGGAGGCGCACTTCCCGTCAACAGGGTTGACGGGCGAGGCAGCGTCCGCGACAGATGGCCATTCTCGTAAGATTCCGAAGTAGTAGAGCTGTAATCAGTCACAGAGGACTCCACGGATGCGACAGAGGCGGAATAGTAGGGGTAGTTTCCGCCGGAAGAGATCGACGATCCCGAAGAGTGTGTCGAGGGGAAACCGTAAGAGTCACCCGAGCCTCGCGAGCTGCGAGGGCCGTAGATATTGCGGGGTGTCATATCCTGGCTGAGCGCGACCATTCCACGGCTGGCATCAAGAGCATCTCCGAATGTTGGAGCGGAAGGGGGTTGCGATTGACCGACGCGAGCATCACTAATCAATATGAAAATGGAATGTAAGCATATTTCCACACCGCTGGAGGCTCCAGATGAAGAGTAAACTTACGCATGAGATATCCGACGGTCCTGGTGTTGGTGCATAGACGGAGCGTAGCTGAGCGGGGCGTAGCTCGCGGGTGCAAAGCTGGTCATGGGCGAGGCGGTAGTGTAGGCCGGGGCTTGATCGAAAGAAGTGCGCGGCATGTCGTGCGACAAACCCATCATCTCCGGTCCGGGGTAACTCGAAGCAGTAGCAGTAGGGTAGTTGCTCCCGGCGACCATCGAGGGAGCGGAAACGGGAATACTCGAGTATGGCATAGACATCGGTGGGCGGCTCACTTCCTCCTGCTTAACATGGCTGAGGCCAATCTGGCTGGGTCCCATGGAAGTCGCGTAGACCGGAGGAGTGGAATGGGACGAAGTTTGAGCGGTCCATGGGTCGGTGAACTGCGGAGCGCTGTGGTGCATGTTGTGTTGATACACGTTATCGAAGCCCATCCCGCCGTATTGGCGGTTCTGGTTCTCAATGACCATCGTCATGGAGGATAGTTGGTTTATCGCGTGGATTTGAATTTAGAGAAAGAAAAAAAAAGTGAGACAAGACGTTGGGGGGCACGAGATTCACGGCGCAAGATATCCCTGGGAAAATGCAGGAACCAAAACACAGGATTTCCCCGCGAAAAGGTTGACGACACAAGAAGGGGATTGCGCGGGTGAAACTGGAATGGTAGAAGGTGGGGAGGAGCAGAAGAATGGAAGGGGGTGGGAGAGAAAATAGATCGCGAGGATGATCAACAAGGAGGAAGTGGGAGAAGAGGATGAATTGATCCGCGCAAAATGTATAGAGAATGCAAGTGTAGGACAAGCTTCGAGGATGATGGGAGAGGCGCAAAGTAAAAGTAGTTTCCCTGAGGGTAGTAGACCAGGAAATAAGTATGAGAGAGAGGAGCAAGAGTAGAAGAGAGCCAGGTCAGCTCAAGGTAGAAAAACAATTCAGAAATCCCTTTGAAGGTGAGAACCCGACAGACAGGAAGAAGGAAAGACAAGACAGTCTGGGGAAGGGCCCCGAAGGGGATCGGCGAAGCTTATGAACAAATACAGGATCTCAGCATGAGGATGGACCGCAGGGACGAAGGGAAGCCCTGGCGTTGCCGTGTTGGTGATGGCCTAGTGCCACTGACGACGTCCCGTCGGGGACGGTTGCAGATCGTTACTTTGGGCCGCTTAGGCTTCGAAACGGCGCCAGTGTTAAAAAAACGAGAGGAATTGCTTAGTGGCAGTGGAAATCTCCAAATGGGAACCAGTTCCTCGGGTGACTCTCAAGGTTTTGGATGGGTCTTCTACTTTCCCTGGTTTAGATCGATTTTTTATTTCTTTTTAATTTTATTATTTTTTTATTACTATTATAATTATAATTTATTTATTTTAATACCTTTCTTTTCTGGGAGAGAGAGCAGAGTAGAGAGAGGGGAGAGCAGAAAGAGTGTGAGAGTGAGAGAGAGGAAGAGGGGGGGGTCTTTTTCTGAATTGAGCATTGCCCTTTTTTTTTTTTTCCCTTTTTCCTTTTCCCTTTCCTGCATTTTTCTTTTTTGGCTTTTCCCTCTCTCTCTCACCTATTTTCCCTTCCCTTCCCCTATTCATTTTCCATTCTATTTTCTCCCAAATTTTTATTTTTTATTTTTCATGTCATTTTATTTATTTCTTTTTCCTCATTCTCTCAACTCCCACACCCCCATAGCCCCATTTCATTTTCCAGAAAATGAATTTCTAGGTCCCTCCCCATAGCGCCCCCCCTCCCCTCCTCCCCATTTGCTTCTTTTCTATTTTTGTGCTCACTTTCCTAATATGATCACCATAATCTAAGGGAAACGAAATGCATAGGGTATCTATCTAGTTAGATAGTAGATGAAATAACAATCGGACTGGGCGATACAAAATCTTGCGTCATCTTCAGATTCAACTGTGAGACAAGAAACTAGACTAACTAGCTAGCAATCGGACACAACTTACTTACTTACTTGCTTGCTTACTTATGTTTTGATATAACTCGAAAATTGTTAATATAATTCATACTACAGCATTTTAAGTAATTGTAAGAAAATAAAATGAAAAAAAGGTTAAAACGCGCAGGGTGTGCGGAAAAGGGGACACCTGAAACTCCGCTGTTGAGTTGAGCTGAGGCAAGTAGGCAAGCAGGCAGGCAGGCAAAGTAGGCATGTATGTATGTATGTATGTATGTATATTAATTACGAGGGACACAAGGACTACTACTATTACTACTACTGCTTTTTACTTTGCTGGTGCAGACGGCAAATGACTATGTATTTTGTAATAATAAAGTATTATGTTATGTTAAGTAGTAAGTAGTTTTTTCTATCTAAGCAGCAACAAATATCTAATTACTACTAACTAACTAAACTACTAGGAGGACGGACACGGGACGGCCACAAAAAAGAAACGAGCGTTGAGCCCAAAGTCAAAAGACCAAAAGGGCAAAAGCGAAAAGGAGAGAAGATAGATAGTACTCCGTAGTTAGTAGAGAGAACGCAAGTACGTAGGGGAAGGGGAAGAGAGGGAGAGAGAGCGCGCGGAATGAATGGGGGTGAACAAAGTGTGGATTTTTGCGCAAAAGAAGAAAAGGCAAAATACAAGCAATAGGGAAACATGGAATGGCGTATGGAGTACGACAACTTCAGTCAGGCACAGGTCCTATTTTTTCTCTCTCCTCTACTGTACTCTTCTCCTTCATGGTTAGCCACTGTGGAATATGGAGAACCTACTCCATAATTTTCTTTTCTGTTTTAATTGACTCTACGTTTCGTTCCGTGCACTCTCCATTTGTGGCAGTTTTGGCGTGCGGGAATTCATCATATCCATAGGGGGGCGGCGTGGATGTGGAAGAGGTTACGGAGTACGGTGGGCTCGCAAGCTTCCAGAGGAAGGCAAGTAGGTTGAACCTGGGTGAGGAAAGTAGGCTACGCCCAAAAGGGATTGTGAGTGTAAAGGGGGGCGGGGGGGAGAGGAAGAGAGAATGGTGTAGTTTGTGCCGTGTCTATACAAAGTAGCGTGTCGGGAGGGGAGTGACCAGTGACCAAAAGAGAAAGGCGTGGGAGGAGGAGGGTAGACACGAAGATGGTGTGGATCAATGGGAAAAGAAAATAATGGGAAAGAAAAGGGAAAAAAAAAGAAAATAGGGAAACGGGAAACATTGCAGGAGGGTAGGCAACGCCAAGAGTTAAGCTTAGATGCAGCGACCAAGGTTCGCCTTGAGCCCTTGAGGGTGTTTCAAGGTAGCGGGGAAGTGGCGGCAGATCACAAAGATACGTCAAAGGGTATACCCGTTCCGTGGGGGAGGTAAGTCACTGGACGACTAGAGATAAAAAAGCTCCAGGAATGGAGTGGGCCAAAAACCCCACCTGCTAGCCATGATTGACTGGCTGTCCCTTTTCCTTTTCTTTTGCCTTTTTGGATCTGGCAGGCCTTTTTAGCAGGTACCTGGTTAGTACGCTGATGTGGTAATCCAAATGCGCATTCAACTGCGATACCGGTAATGTTACCACAGGTACACCACCAGAACTGAACTGCTCTGCCGAAGAGAGGCGAGAAGGAAGAACAGCAGACGGCACATGGAGGGGGGTCTTAGCCAAACGGCTGCCTCGAACTCATTCTGTCAAAGGAGAAAATAAAAATTGTTGGTTTTACGTCGAATTTCATCCACCCCCCCCCCCCCCCCCCCCTTTTAAGATTTCTATATCACAGTCGGCAGCCAATGGCGGCAGTCTTGCGACGCCATAATGCAGAAGACAAGTTGCGCAAGAAAGCAGCCAAGACCCAAGTCCAGAGACTCCAAGCACGATGATTGGTGAATAATTCATCTGAGTCTAGTAAAGATGTGGTTAGGAGTTAAGTTGGTAGAGTTGATGACTTGGCCGACTGGGAACGCCGTAGCCGGAGGGCCACAGGGCGCGCGGGCTGGCTGCAGGGCCTAGGAATCCCCGTAATACCGCTAAGCAGGAGGGATCCTGGTTGAGGCGGTATAGCAACGCATCAGGGCGGCTCATGTGAATGCTGGGAGATTCTTGGTACACACAGGAAGTAAGTACCCTTTTGCAGCTGCACATTATGGAGCACTACTCCCATGCCTCTGCGCGGAGTTTCCATCGAATATTCTTCCTGTCGAAGGTATTGTTCGGGTTCGTTGTGTGCATGCATGGTCGGCGGTGCAGCATTTCGGCGCAAGGCCCAAATGTATCATGCGATGGGGTGCACCGTGCGTTACAGGGAAAATCCATCCATCAGAGATCTAACAATGAAAGTTTGATTCTCTTTGGTATTATTTTTCGTGGCATGAAAGGTCAACTCGTATTGCAACCTTGTCCGACCAGTTCATGGTTCTTTAGCCGATTGACTAGTATAGACCGGGATGAAAGGTTGGTTCGGATTATAGGGCGACTGTCGTCACATACTTTTTGGGTGGTCAGATATCTACAGTACATATACTTACTACATAACTAGCAAGCTCAACCCGCACTCTCATGCAAGTAGAGCAAATTAGATCGGACTAATCATCAACATTTGCTGCACAATTTCAGCCATGATGCTGTAGGTGATGATATCGGGGAAGGGTTGCTGCGGAAAAGGGCAGAGGGTCATGCAGGATGACGAAATGGCTTTTTTATTGCAACGCGTTGGACCGGAACTTCATTTGCAATTTGCGTGGTCTGCAGAGTTGGAGCTCTCGCGTGTTAATTAATATGGGGGTCGGAGTCTGCCGTCATGAGGTATTTGCCTCTCTTGGTGCGGAGTCGACCACAATCCTCCTTCTCGTAGCCCGAGGGTGTGCGAGAATTGATTCCGAGGGACAAGTAGACTTTTATCGAGGTAAAGTAGTAGACAAGCACCCGTGCTTGCATAAGGGATCTTTCTTCCCCTCTCCTCTTGTTGGTAACAAGTAATATCCAACACGCCCCCGCCTGACGATGCGGAAGAGAGCACTTCCATCCATCGCGGGCATTCCAATACTGAATTAGAAAACCACTAAACTCATCTCTAACCCGCGGTGCCAAAATGAACCAGTCAATTCAGGGTCACGCCAACCTGGTCCTTGATTTGTTTCCGTAAATAAAATAGCCAAGCTAATGATGGTGATGGTGATATGATGATGATGATGAATCAATCTCTTGCGGTCGCAAAATGCTACGAGACCCTGTCATGGTAATTTTCCCAACGTGACCTCCCAAAACAAAAAAATATACATCAGAGGTCGCTACACCGGATATTTCCTCAGCCACTAGACTTGTGATCAACTTACTCTTGTACTATCTTCCCCTCAGGAAGAGCACACTACTATACTACACTACACTACTGTAGATAGTAGAGATAAATTAATTGGAACCATCTCCGATTCAGATCGCGACCACGTTACCGGGATTGTATGGGCTGACCCGCTCCTTCCTCGGTTCTGGCTGGGCTAGTGACATGGTACTGGAAACCAATTTCCATCCATTCCCATGGCTTCCTGCTTCTGGGTCCCCCAGTTGTCGTCTGCTCTGCTTTTGCTTCTCTGGGATTAAAGCCAATCCAGCAAGACGAGAAACGGGGCAAGAGAGTCCATGCTTTGGTCTTAGCTTGCCCCCCCATCATCCTCTTTTTTTTCTCCTGCTAAAAGATGTGACTTGACTTGACACTATTAGGGATGGAAGTGAGTGGGTGGGTGGGTGGGTGAGAGGGAAGGAACCGTCTCTCACCGACGTCAGAGCGCGGGAACTGGGTAGGCCGCGCCCTACGCTAGCGGCACAGCTCAAGAATCTTGAAATCCGCTATAGGTCGGAAAAAGGAGGAGGATAGAACACATCACACGCAACATCCACCTCCATCTAGCAGGAGCAGCAGGATGGGGCACACTCTCTCCAGTTGACAACACTCAGCCGAGTACCCATCATTGGTACGGAGATGCACTAGAGGAGAAAGGACTTGGTGGATGCGAGAGCAGCTGAGAAGAGATGATTTGAGTTTATCCTAGGAGACGGAGAGGCTCGAGATACTATGATTCAAGCTGGTAACCCCCAACTCTTTGCTTTGTTGTTGTTGTTGTTGGTTGGGGCCATGAGCGGCTGAACATACACGCACTACTACTACGACGGTAAAGATAATAAAAGAAAAGAAAAAAAAAACCCCCAAGAATAGCAATTGGTCAGGAAAAGCACTACCGACAATCACGCTTAATCCAACCACCCAGGCCGTTCCTTTCAAGAGGCTCATCTTAGACTTCCAACACCATATACAAAATGTTTACCATATACTACTTACTCCTACGCCCGTCTCCAAGCCGCACAGTCTATAGTAACGACGTCAAGGTGGATGCCGGGGAGGTGGCGGCCGCGATGGCCATGACTCCGACTGACGGACGCCCACTTTCTGCAACCGTTCGGCTGGGGCGTTTTTTTCTCTTTCATTGCTGTCCACAGTCCTTGCCCCCAGGGCGATGGTCTGTGAGTGTGGCCACTGGAGCCCGGATGAGAAGCTGGTGAGGACCACCAAGGATCAATATGATAGGTACAGCTCATCACCTCTCGGGCTTAGCTTAACTTAAAGTTTCTTCCTGGTCCCCTCCAGGAGACAGGGTGGAACACTTCGATTCGACGATAACAGCCTAATAGGCGAGGGTTGCAGGACTGAGCGACAGGGGAAATTTACTAGATTGATGCTGGTGGATGACCACATGCATCGGGCCAAGATCGAGTCACTCCTCGTGCATGCCGAATATCGGAGATGGCTGCGCGAACCGGTTTAGGTCGGATCCCTGGGACTTGAGCTGAATGGGGGACTGGAGACACAATGGCTCTACTAGGGGAAGGGGGCTGTCGCGTGGTGCTCAACTCTTGGTGACATTTGTAACTGGAGAAAATCATTACTAAGGGACTGGATTTCTCGAATGAGCTCAATGGATGGAGTAGTGGGAGAAAAAAAGGGACCAATTCCCATTGGCTACAAGACCAACAACCATCCTCTCGTCATACCGGATTGAGCAGGTGCAAGAACAGGTCCCCATTGCTAAAATGCCCCAATAGGGAGGGGCGGCTGGCCGAAAAGAAACCAAAAAGAGAAAGTGAAAAAGGGAACCGAAAAAAAGAAGGAGAATGAAAAAGCGGCGACGGGAACGTGGGTCGGAGAACCCACACGGTTTTTTGGCACGAGGCTGGCCATGCGGGCGACAAGAGGAGCCTTTTCTTGAAAATCCTCAAAAAGGTTCGAAAATCTCCAAAACGCTCAAAGTTCTGGCCCGTGGATCGATTCGAATGGAGGAACCGCAAAAGAAACAAAGTTGGACCACACCTTTCACCCATCCGCGCGCGCGCCCCCCTTGAACTACTAGCACTAGCAGTGATTTAGAGTGGATTCATCGCGGTTGGGGGATTCAATAGTAGTCCGTGGCTCCGTCTCAATCGGGATAAGTCTGGGTGACAGCGCCAGGCCAAGCTTCCCACTTTCGCCTCCCCAATTCTTCAGACTTGAGACACAAATTGGACTTTTACGCAAAATGGCAAGTCGACAGGCGAAACTATGGGATGGAAACATGGTACCGGGACCTACCAAGTGTCCCAGTGCGCAGGGTGTGGATTAGCCACTAAGGTTATGAGGCGTCTACTTTAAATGACCAACCGCATTAAGAGGCAATCAAAGGTTAGCTTAGTAGTAAGCAGTAGTAGTAGTAGTGAGTAGTAGCTACTGTATATGGCTGTGGGTAGAGGAAGAAGAACTCAGCCTGCAATCCGAAGGTGTGTATACGCAAACATTCATTGCTTACTGCCAATTAGTAGTATGTATGGTGTTGGGGATGAAATTGCAAGCAAGCTGTGAGGGGGTTAATTACAAATCTCCCGGTCGCAGTTCTCACACGAGTCTCCAATTTACAACCTACAGTATAACCTAAGTGGTAGTAGTAATATCTTGCCTCTTTTCTTTTTTTTTTAATTATACTTACTCCATCCGGGGTTCCCATTTGAGGGAAAAGAGGGAGGAGGAGGAGGGTGGGAAAGGGACGCATCATCAGTGAGGCGTTGCAGAAGGGGGCGAGAGCGACGAGAGTTTCCCTTCTCACTTACTTTTTACTCCATCTCTATCCGTAGTCTACCTTCCTGGTTATCCACTGAACACACACACACACACGCACACACACAAGTCCTGCAGTCAATGGCCTCGGAATACTACCTACCTACCTACCTACCTATGAGAAGCGTCTCAGAATGGTATCTGAATCCTGGCTCATATTCATGTGCAATAATATATTCTGTACCTAGGGTTGTTTCAACACACTCACCCGCCCGTGCCAGCCCCCCGGTCATTCGCAATGCTTTCCTTAACAATACATGCCATGCCACTTGTGATAGTATCTACTTGGCTTTGTGGGCCAATAGAGATCGCGATCACACTTAATTACTACCTAGGTACTTACTGTAGTGTAGTATCTCTTCCTGACGCATGATACTTCCCAACTCTCTCTACTTACTTACCTAGAACCGTATTCAGCTCCGTTTCTCGGCACGGAAATAACGGGAGGATGGGAGGATAATGATGATGATGATTACGGGCAACTTCAGACCGAGAGGGTTCGGTTATTCCATAGTGCTATACGGAGTAGTATCATCCTCGTGACGGGTAATTGATGTTTGTGATGGCCGACTTCGGGGTTGGGTTGTTGCTAGTTATGATGCAATTGGCGGCGGCGGGCCAGGAAATGCCTTCAAAGTCCGCTTACACATTTCAACTACTGTACTACTACTAATTCAACACTCTACGGTCGCAGAGAACCAAACTAGTACTACAACAAGTAAACAATAATAATAATAGTAATAATAATAGTACTGGCAGGAGTAAACGAATTTCCTTTGCAATGAGAGAGAGGCAAATTGACCTATGCGCCCATGTCTGGTCTTTCCAAATACTCCTATCTATCTATCTATCTATCTATCTATTCTACGCAATTGCTCACTCTCGGGCAACCAAGATTGCTTGCTTGCTTGCTTGCTCCACCAGAAAGGAGGGTGTGGGATTCCCCGAAGAGGCGAGCCGAAATCGCTAAATGGAAAAAGAACGATAGGTATGCGCGGGCTGGGGGGCTTGTACGGAAGTTGAAGAGGCCCAAGCGGGTGTGCATTGCGTAAACTTCAGCAAGAATAATCCCGCGACCCGAGATTGGAGGGGACGGAGGGGGGGAAAAAAGGGAACTGGAGGTTGGGTTAGAACAAGAATAATAATAATAACAATAATGAAATTTTTAAATTCGGGGCTATTTTTGGTCGAAAGGAATGGGTGATGAGTATCTACAACGGAGTAGACAGAGAGAATGTGTATATTCAGGCAACCTATACAACAAGAATCTAATGTTTACTATAGGATCGAATCAGAAAAGGTACTTTTGGCTGACGACAACAACATCTGAGACGCAGCTTCAGATGGTCACACAAACTTGAGGTCCAGTTCCGTTCCTTTCAATGGAGGGGGTGTTTGTTTGAAAAGCCCAGCTCCCGGCTTGGCTGATTTGCCTCTTGACCGCAGGATCCGCTTTTCCTGGGCGGAACCGTGCCTTTTTAGAAAAGAAAAAAGAAAAAAAAAACGCCACCTAAGTAGAGCGCCAACCATCCGGATCTCACCGCTTTTCTTATGGCTGTCAACCACCACCCCCCGGGGTCTCCAACAACAACAACAACAACAACAACTAAAAGGAGGAGGGGAAGGGTAGGGGGAGGGGACCAGCAGCAGTAGCAACAACTAACGCTCACCTCGACTCAGTCCATTGACAGATAGACTCCATACTCAGCGGCGAGACTGGTGTAAGTTCCCATCAAATCCGTGCCTTAGCGGCATAAGGTTTGCCCTCTTTTGCAGGGATTGCACCTAAGCCTATCCCGGCAGCTCGTAAACTACCGAATGAGGAAGCGCACCCACCCCCTTGACACGGCACATCATCCCCAAAAACGCGTAACTGGACCCAGAAACGGTCGGCCAATCATCAGCCACAACCCACTTTGAGGGGGGTGGGAGGGGGCCCGTCCTGACCCTTTTTTCCCCTAAACCATTGCGGGGAGTCCCGATCGGGTAATCCGGTGGGGAACCCTTTTCCCAATTGCTCTCTCCAAAAAAGAAAAGAAATCGAACTAAATCAGTCAGTCAGTCAGCTCGTACCGAGTCGGGGCCCAATTGGAACGGAACCGCTACGCCTTCCTCATTTGCTGTTTGGCTTCGTGGTCTGGCCTTACAGCCAGCCTTCTTTTCCCTACTTTACCTACCTTAGTCTCCTGTCTTGTATAGCTCCAGCCTACTTAGTACGTACTCACTTACTCTGTAGGTTGAGTAGGCAAAGCATCACTAGTTCGGTGGCGAAAAATTATGGCTTAAGCAGAAGGAACAAAAGAAAAACTTACAAAAACCAATTGAAACTCTCGGGGAAAGACACTCTATTCTCCGGGATTGGACGGCAGTCTGTTCCCCCCGAAGCCAAGTTTCCACGCTTTTGACTTTGGTGACAGAAGCATCGACGCAAAGCATGGAGCACATCCAACATATGGCCAGTAGTAGTAGTATCGCCAATTGGATATGAGCCATACATAGGAAGTAGATTACTTGCGGTGGGTAAGTAGTAGGGCCCTTGCACCTCTCGCTAATTAGATGGTAGGTGTACTCCATCGTTGTCGGTGAATCCATTCATTCTTCCATCTTAGGGAGAGTTCATATCCGTCGTGTTGTTATAATTAGGACATTTTAATCTCGCTTCTTCACTGGGCGGTGGATAAACAACGAACGTCTAGACTGGCTACACACTTGACTATCGGCGCCAAGGGACATAGAACCAAGAACATTTCCGAGGATTCCGAGATGAAAGGAGAGAGGGGGGTGTGAAAGTATTTACCAAGATGCTTGACTACTGTATACTACGTATTGATAAAGAGTTGACTACTGTATGATTGCCAGCAAGCAGGTAGCAGTAGCAGTAGTGTAAACTAAATCTACCATTCCACTCCGATCAGATAGAACATCGCGACCATCATCAACAACCTTGAACTCGGCATCTCGTCGATCATTCTGACGTCGGCAATAAATAGCCAGCCAGCTACCAGCTAGCTATAACCTAGCTAGCTAGATCAATAGATAGATATGTGGCACCAAGCACCACATCCCACCCTTTCTCTCTCTCTCCCAATCACCAACCCACGCCAACATCGAAGCAATAATCTAAAATCCCTATTTCTTCAGGAACACGGACGATCATCATCTCAAACTGCGGACCCCTACCTAGCTACCAGTCCACAGCAAGCCAAGGAGCAAGTATCTAGTAGCAGCATACACTACAGCAGGACTATGGAGTCGAACTAATAACCCTAAGTAAGCATAGCAGCCATTAGCAATCAAATTTCTCAACCTAGAAGCTGGGCAACGAGTCAGGCATTTCCTTCTTCCCCCCCCCCCCACCCCCCCTTTTTTTTTGTTTATTATTATTTTCGTGGGTTTATTTTCTTTTAAACACCATCTGTCAATCTGCACGGGGCTCCTTTCTTGGCAGATCCCACACGGCAGATCGTCGTTGATTGGCATGATGGCGTTTTGGGCTTACTTTTGCTGCTCCTATCTTACTGTAGGTATAGATGTAAGTATAGCATTCTTAGGTCAGACTATACCAATACTTAGGGAAGGAAGGAAGGAAGGGAACAAGAAGAGGGTACGTAAGATTAGTGCTACGCGCTTATTATCTTGTTTCAACGTAAAGAAAAACAAATGATGAGGGTATTGGAGTGTATCATGTGCCATAGATACGAGTACATACGAAACTACTACTAATTTACACCCCAGTATACTAGTAGGAGTGAACCATCCACGGAAAGTATAAAGCGAGATATAAAACAGCAAAAAAAAGAAAACTACTACGAAACTTAACTTCGGCACCATCTGTGATGGTTATCCATAGATCGCATCGATGTATCTCAACTAGAATCCCTCCTATTATTTCCCAGAAACAGAAGAAAAACAGATACTCGAGATTCCCGCGGGAAACCAAAAAATGAATCCCGAAATTAAGACCACAAGAACACCGAATAGCGGAGCTGAATAGTAGTATAGCCATGGGACGTGGGGACCAAGACGAAGAGGCAAAAAAGAATATACTAAACAGTAACTAGAACATGAAGTGAACTTTCCATGAATCTTCTTTTGCAATTTTAGGTGTAGCGTTGGCGTTGGCGTGCCAGCTTCTCTTACTTTTTTTCCACCTCGTAACTTGGGAACCCTAAATGAGATGAGATTTTATAGTTTGGTTTGATCGGTATCTCTACTAACTAACTAACTAGCTAACTAGTAGATTTTTGGGTCGGGGAGGGAAGATGGGGGGAAGGCAGGCGCGGCGTGCTGGCGTATATTCACTTTTGGAGTCATTTTAGATGGGGGTTTGTGAAGGTTTGTTATTTGGAGGTGATGGTGGTGGTTGGTGGTGGTGGTGGAGGATGGGTACAAATCAGTGAGTGGTTCGTTCCCGTGGCAGCCCATACCCAAATTTTTGACAGTCCCCCCCCATTGGCGATGGATCCCTTGTCCAATTGTTCATATTGGTTGGTTCTTCATCCACTCAGCTCGCAAACCCACTCGCTCGTACCTCCTCCTTCTCCCCCCTCCCGCGTTGTCCCCTAGTGAGCTAACCTTTTTGGGGCTTGCATGGGTCCGCGGATGTGGATGGAGAGGGACTGGCTGACATAGGGACGAACCAGAAAATAAAAAAAATCAAAATGAGAAATGCAAAAAAAAAAGAAAATACAAAACAGGTAAAAGTGGCGTGGGGCCACAGCCCGAAAAGGGAAGCCCCACCAAGATGAGAATGAAAGGTCATCCATCAATCAATCAATCGCGGCAAAGCGAGAAAATCCAGTTCCCGTGCGGCAGGGAACTGGACTACTTGCGCATTGCTTTGCTTTGCTTTGCTTTGCTTACTTACTGTTGTTAGTACTTTCTAGACTACCAAATTACGGAGGTGCTCTAGATGTGTCTGTGTGTTCCTGTCTTGTGTCCCACTCACTAACTATTGCGCAATTGCAATAGCAATGTGTCAGAGGAACCTGAGTCGTTCAATTGGGTTCCTGATTGGTTCCCTACCCCGATATACCACCGCGACTCAAACCATTCGGGAGATCCACATCTGCTTAATTTACAGCCCGATGGAAATGTAAGAAGTTAAGCAATCTGCGTCACAGGTAAGAAAGTAAGCAGCAAAAGCATTTGCCGTGAGATTCCATTGCCTGTACATGCATACATACATACTTACATGCCTAGAATGAGGACTTGCAAGTACTCGGTGGGAAGTAACTCCATCCAACAGAACACACAAGAGGTAAAGAGAGGAGCCATGGGCGGGTCACGTCTGGTTTAGCGTGCAAACTAAGATCCAAACGCAACAGAGCAGAAATCACCAGTCACGCTATTGGCAAACCACACTATGATTCAATTTTCTCAATCCCTGGACTAAGCAAAAGCAGGGAGGGCATGTTAGCCACATCCCCGGGGGACGGCAGATAGTCGATAGCCGAGCTTGGCTCATTCAGATAACCCAATCACAGCTGGGGCCCCACAGGAGCTGACGCGTGCACATTTCACAGCGCTATACCTCATTGGGGTGGGGCTTTCCCCGTTTCAGTATATGGTTTGTTGTCAGCAAGGGTTTCTTTTGTCATGGTTTTTATAATATCGAAGTATCATAGTTATTGGATGGATACAATTCACGCAGCGCGCAGGCCATGCAAACCTGCTTTTTTCGAAAAATTACTCTAGAAATCATCTTATTCAGAATGTTCTGTAAGTACTTACCCAGCAGAGTGGTAAGTTTTTTTTCACTTCTTGCTTAGGTTACAGATAGAATCTAAACCAGACAAATGAAAAAGATAGACATTACCCAAACAACTCTAATTAACTCTGTCCAGAAGTCAAGAAGTTAAAGCCCGTATCGGCCTCCATTCTGAACCCCGCAAGCCCGTTGACCAGAATCCCTGCGTGCGATCCTGGCGGGCTCCACCACCCACCAGGACACTGCCACTCTCAGGGTTGCGGGCTAGCAGCCACCTGAAACGCGCCGGCTCATTTCTTGGCCCTGTCGAAAGGGTTGGTCAAAAATGAAGTTCTAACGCCAGTCCGGGCTCCACCGGGTTTACTCTTCAAGAACATGTAACTGAGCTCTGGTTGGCTTGGCCATGATATCACTTCCCCCCCTCTCTCCCTCGTCTTCCGTGGGAAGTTACGGAAAGGTATGGATGCCACCACCGTTTGCTGCCAAAGAGACTACGCTTCTCTCGGAAGGTCGTAATTATTGCCAGCTCTCTCGAACGCAACAATCTTATTTTTCTTTTTATTAAACGGTTCTGATAATAACAATGACATTATCCAAGCGCCAGTGCAATGTCCTGTTTCGTTCTAGATGCTTTTCTTTTTTCTTTTTATTTTAATTTTTTATTCATACACACAACATAGGGAAAGCAGAACCCGAACCTGACTCCTACTACTACTAGCTACTGCATTATTTTATGACTGGGATGTGAGGTGATAGTTTCAGGGGTTGTTGCGTGGGTGGGTGATAAAAAGTAAAAGCAGACTGGTCTAATGCCAACATCCCTGACCGTTATCTTCAGCTCACCTGACAGCATACATCTGTGCGCGGTGGATGTACTCCAAACTCTGTACTACCACCACCCGAGGGAGGGGGGAGGAAGAGCCACCTACGGAGTATCTACCTCCTACACTACTACTGCTTCTGATTTGTGTGTACAGCAGGAAGATGTACGTAACACTCTATCCGTACCTACATTTGCGGGGATTTCCGACGATATCCCTGAGACAAGACAAGCCCAGACAAGACGTGCACGACACATGAGACATTGACATCAGGGCGGCGGACACCGAAAAGGGGAAAAACCAAAAACCGCCACCAGCAGCAGCCATGATACTCCGTAGGACCCTGAATGAGAATCAAACCGACTAAGCTTCCTGCGACAGCCGCGTCTCTAGGATCCCCCCGACGGGACAGAAACGAGTCTAGTGTGCAGGAAGTGGAGCAAGCCACCACCAGCATCACCCCCTTGGCGGGATGTCACAAAAGGTGATTGATGTATGGTAGTGACTCAGTCAGTGTGTGTGGGTGAGAGTCCTCGTGAGTATCAATCATACACACTAAAGATAGACAGATGTCATCCCGCAGAAGCAGTAGTCGTCATTGTCATCTTTATTGACTTACGAATCTGAAACATTTTGATGGGATGAGTTTATCTGATTGTGTCTCGAATTGATTAAACCCGAGTTGTGTGTGTGTATGTGTGTGTTCGTGCGCGCAAAATAAGTTCCCATTTCCATCATCCTTTTATTTTTCCATTTATTTAATTATTTATTTATGAGTATATTAAAATGGAGCCGCGATTTGAAATCGCCAACGGCACATCGGGTTCAAACTAGTTCCTAGCGCTTGATCAATGCGTTCCTGCTGAGTGATCCAAGCAAGTACGTAGTACGTAGTGTGCGAGCGGTACCATGGATTGAATCTGCGTTTTTAATTTCTGATGACCTTTTTTTATATATTGTTAATTAGATTTTAAATTGCCATTTCTTCTAATTGTTTGAATTTCTATTAATATAACTCTTGGTTATAAGAGGACCCTGCATTCGAAACTAACGCCAAGAAGGAAGCTGTTAGACGTCATAAGTGCTCGTGTCGTGGTTCTCTCTTTCCTTCTTTCTTTTTGGTTCACTACTTCATCGCTAACTACAGTACCTAACTAGTTAGTGGGCATCCGACATACCTTAATCTCTCTTTACAGGGGTCGGGGAGGAGAGAGAGAGAGGGTGTGAGATTGAAACAAACACGAATTCAAAACTATTAGCTACCAAGACCTCCCTCTCCTCTTATTCTCCTCATCTGGATCCAATTCGGCTTCACATGTTCCCTCGGAATCGCAAACAATTAGCCAACCCTTTTCTTACTTCCAAACCAAGCTTTGTCATGCCAAACAATAACATGACTAAGTCCGGAAATGAATATTGTAGATAACTAACTTACAGAAACAAGGGATGATGAATGATGGATGCCGCGCGCGCGCAACCAGCCCACCTTGACTTATTTACCAACTACGACCCTGGAAATTATTTCCACAAATCTTATCCTATCAATCCGAAGCTAAAAGTAGGGTTGCATCTGAGGGAGAGAAAAACACTAGTCAGTAAAAATGAGCAGGGGCCCATGTGGTGCAGAAAGGAAGAAAAAGAAGGGGGCCTAGGCATAAATGGATTATTCATTTTATTTTTTTTCCATTCCTCATGCAGATAGATGTATGCCCAATGCTAATTGCAATTAATGTGATGACGACTTCAGCTGCATGCACTGCCTGCCCTTTGTTTTTTTTTCCTTTCTATCTCTTTTCCCGGCACGGAGTACAGTAGTCCAACTGCATGTGTGCCTGGATAATATGGTGATAGTGATGGGGAAATGGGATTAATCATATGCTTGTTGCTGGTTATACTTCCTAGGTTAGCTACGGAGGTGTTGAAGTTTCCGATTGTGTTTTTCCTTTGAGAAGGCAGAGGAAGTTAATTAAAGGCAACTTTTGACAGAGGTATTGTTGATGTCTGTGCTTTAGGTTAGTTACTTGACTTGGATGTCTTGATGTCTAGACAGTACAACTCCTCCTAACCAATAAATAGGTATTCTTCGTAGTCACCTCCGATGTTCAACTGCGCTTCATCATCACCATCGTCACTGAATAGTTACAGCGCTCAAGCCTCTTCACAACTAGCTATCTGAACTACTCATCTTAAAAAACCACGATACAATCTATAGAAACAATAGAATGAATACTAACCGATAGAACCAATCATCCACAATCCCAAATTGGAAAAAGCACCTCCCACCAAGAATGTCATCGTTATCATCAACATATAAAAAAAGAACTACTTACCCCCATAGACCTACCTTAATAGGCAACTCAACTCAACTAATCCCCAAAGAACATAAATAAGTAAATTGGACAAGAAGCTGAAGAGACCCACACCCACCACCACCACCACCATCATCTCAGTCATCATCCATCATCATCTCATCCCGTCATACCAAAAAAGCCAACCTACGAGTTTGGACTTACTTAGTTGACGGACCCTCCCCACCTCCTAGGTAAACCCCACCACCCACCACCAACCATCCCCCCAACCAATAAGATCCCACTAAATGGGTTGTGCTCCTTTCCCCACAACACGGAACAAGCAGGGCCAAGCCCACACATGACATGGGCTGATGGAGAAGGCTTACGCGGCAACATACCTAAGTTAACTAACTGTACTTACTTACTAACTCCGTTTAAGTTAACTAGACTCAGAGGAGTAAAAGTTGTAAAGTCACTTACTTACTTTACTGTTTCTCTTTTTGGTGTTTTTTTGTCATTGTCATTGTCATTGTTGGAATTTGTTATTGTTGTTGTTGCCCTGCTGCAGGGTTGCAGGGGCGCCCTTGGCGGGCTGTTACCTCAGGGAGGGTAGTGGGCTGGCTTGCGTGTATGGATTTGGGTTTTATTTTTGGTGGTGGTGATGATGATGATGGGATTCTTTCAGATGTTGGTTGGGTGGTTCGTGCGTTTTGGGTGATGCATGTGGGTGTGGGTTGATGTCGTATATTTTTTGTGATTCATGTTTTGACTACGTAGTTAATATCTTTTGATGTGGTTGATGGGTGAGAGGAAAAAAGAGAATGGGCAAGGGGAGGAATGACCTCATTGCTTTTTTTTACTATCTATCTACTGTCATCATTTTCTGTTCCTGGATGAGGGTGCAGCTGGGGTCGGTTACACAATCAGTGCCCAGGTAGGAGGGGTTTCGTTCTGTACAGGTGCTTTTATCTGAAGTAGAGATGGTTGTTGTAGTTCGGTTGGTTAAGTTGTATGTATGTTGGGATTTAGATGGTAGTGGTTGTGATTCTCAGTTGGTAGAATATTTTATAGTGTTGAAGATGTTTATATATATTGGGTTATTGTTGCAATACTAGTCCTTGTATATATGCCCTACTGCTTCTTAGAAATAGTTCATGTGTACTACTAGTAGTATAAGTAAGATCTATGATATTGAAGTCTGTTGTCGTGAATGTAAATGTAAACATAGTACTATATTATTCCTGCTATATGTTTGCTACTCAAGCACTCGTATATATCCTATCGCATACTTTTCTTATAGCAGCCACTACAACCGTGCCTGTCGGCTCGACACCCTCGCTGCCGCAGCCCGACCAGCTCGTCGTCCAAAGACAGCTCCCGACGTCAATCCACTGCCTCCAGGGTAGTTATCATAAAACAGTCCTCCCAGCATCTCGCCCGCGCAGTACAACCCCGGCACCTCCTGGTTTGTCGTCGACGACACCACCGCCGCCGTCTCCGGACGGACCGCCAGTCCACCAAACGTGAAAGTGATGCCCGCCGTGACGCGAACAGCCAGGAATGGTCCCTGATCAAGAGGAAGCGCCCAGTTAGACTTGGGCACTGCCAGCTCCAAGCCCTCGGACTGCGTAGTAAGTCCATCCTTGACAGCCGGATCCCATTTCCCACCCGGATGCCTGCGCTGGCGCTCATAAACCGCCTTATTATAGTCATGGATGGTCTGCTCGAAGCGCTTCCTATCTTCGAGATCAAACTCGGCGCACTTTTCCGCCAGCTCACTGATCGTGGCCGCGCTGATATGCTGCACCACCTCCGGCCGGTACTCCTCCGATCGCAACCAAGGGATCATCTTGGAATCCCAAATCTGGAACGCCATGTGGCCAGGCTGGTTGAGAATCTGGCGTCCGATCATCGCATACGTATAGTTGCGCAGATCAGACCCCTCGTCCACGAACCGGTTTCCCTGCCGATTGATCATGATGCCCAACGGATACCCGGACTTGGTGAACTCGTTGGAGATCTCCCGGTCGCCCGTATCGGCCGGTGCGTTAGCATCCCACGCCACACAGTGACATCCCGACCAGTTGCCCGCCTGCTTGGCTGAGACATCCCGGATCGCCATCTCGAATCCATCCCCGGAGTTATAGGGCGTGCCGCGCACCAGCGCTACGTCCCAGTGAGGTCCAAGGTACTGCGCGCGCATGCGCGGGTTACCTTCGAAGCCACCGGCCGCGAGAATCACAGCTCCAGCCTGGATAGTCTGGTCGCGGCCATGATGAGAAACCACCACAGACGTCACGGCTCCAGAGACCGGGTCTGTTACTAATTTCTGAGCAGCGGTCGAGAAGAAGACCTGAATGCCCAGTCTCCGGGCTGCTTGCAAGTGATCTTGAATGAGACCCTTGCCGCCGTCTTGAGTCTTCAGCGCAAGACCACCCCAGAACTTGAGCCGACCGTTGACTTCATACGCCTGTCGGTTGAAAGAGAGCTGGAATCGCACGCCATTACTCGCCAGCCACTTGATCGCCGAGTTCGACTCATTGACGAGTGTCTGGCAGAGCTCGCGATTTGTGCGCCGCCCTGTAACACGGTTCATGTCGCCCGTGAAGTCATCCACGGTATACGGCTTCATATCGATCTTCTTCGCCGTTTCCGCATCGACATTATTCACGATGGGAAGCAGATCCGGCAATCCGCCGTGGACGGTACGCATCGCTCCCGCCGTGAAGTAGGAGTTACCTCCTGCCCATTCTTCCGGACATTTATCGATAATGGCAACGTGTTTTGCGCCGGACTGGACCGCCGAAATGGCGGCGCAGAAACCGGCATTACCGCCGCCAATGACGAGCACATCGCATTCTGAGGGGAGAGCCATGGTGCTTGAGAGATCTGATTGTGTGTGTATGTGCCTGTGCGTGCGTGCGTGTATGCGTCAAAGAGAGAAGAGCATTAGTGCATTTAGTCTGCCAAGGGGAGAAGAATGATGATCATCGCATCAAGTAGATACATAGTGGTCTGGGATCTGTGCTCAAGTTGCCTGCGGCTTTGTATGTAGTAACAGACGGCGGGGATGGTGCCGATGATGGGATCGCGGTTGGGAAACGGAGAGTTATGCTCCGTCGGTGCCACGGGAGAAGGCGGAGGGAGTCTTTCCGGTCGGTCTGGGCAGTGCTGCTTGATGTCATCGGGGGTAGCACAGGAATGTTAGGGAGAAAAGTGGATAGCTTTGTTAGATTGATCGGGAGAGTAACTCGGATCTCGACAACTAACGATCGCATGGCATGATGCGCGGAGTCTGAGTGCGGGTGCTCCCCACGCTGGAATTGCGGGGGAGAAAATAG